GACCCCGGATAATTATAATAAAGGTCATATGCAAAAAAAGTATATAATTTTGCATTTTTAATGGAAAGGTCATATGAAAAAACGGGTATTTTAAAAAAAAGTTACATGTCAAAATAGAGTACCGCCAAATTAGGTCACAGTAAAAAAAGTATATAATTTTAGACAAAATTTTAAGGTCACATGTGATTTTTCTAATAAAAGCGTATATTTAGGAAATATCATATGCAATGTTACATCAATTTTCAATATAAATAGCAAATGAGAAAAATACATTTTATATTAGATAAATTTATCATAATTTATCAAATTTACTTAGTTGCTTTGGCTCAAAATGATGGCACAAAAACTGGAAATTTAAAAACTAAAAGATGGCAAAATAGAACATGTTTAGAAGTATTGGAAAGATATCAAAATGCCTCAGGTAAAATTCACTGGTTATTGTTTGCAAATTTATATTAATTTATAATTTATATTATAATTTATTTAGCTTTGCTAAGCATTAGCGTTGCAAATGTTACTTTGGAAAATTCCACCAATCGTGGTGGTTATGCATTTGCACTTTTGGGATTAAAAATTTGACTTGTTCAATTTTTGGCTATGTATCATAAATTAACAAATTATCATTCTTATGTTGATAGTACTAGCTGTATTGATTCACTTTCTTATATTTCAGTACATGTTTATATAGAACAGATTCCAAATATTTTTGGATGTTTTCCAATGGATGAACCAAAATATGTTTTGTTTTTACATATTCCTAGTTATTTGATCATTATTATTTAGGAAATTGCGAAAATATTACTGAAAATATGGGATTTTTAATTGTAGGAAAAAAAGAAATGGCAATCTATAATTTTTTTAATTCAATTATAGATAAATTACAATTGATTATTGCTACAAAGTCGATTAAATGATGATGCTGAATAAATTTAATATGAAATATAATATTGTAAAAAAAAAAAATATTATTAAAGTCATATGATAAAAAAGGATATTTTTAATACGTATAAAGGTCATATGATAAAAATGTATATCAAAACGGCAAAAATTATGTATATTTCATTGAATTTTTAATTAGTACTGCGGATGTGACCTCTATTATAATTATCCGGGGTCCTTGACATGTCGTATTCGTCGTAATTGTCATAATCTTTATAGATGATAGTCTGGTCTAACCAGCGATTTTTTTTTTTATTATTTAATAGAATAAATGAATAAATATATTTCGAAAAAGAGAATTGCTCGGAACATAAACGTGAAAATAATAAAATGAATTTTCAATTTTATTTTTTTTTGAAAAAATAAAGTATTTCAAACTAATATTCTTACTAGTAACATATTCTTACTATTAACTTGTTAGTGCCAGTTCTTTTCAAATATCGCTGAAAGATATTCTTGAATATATTTCAAATATGATTCTTTGGAATGTAAACTCTTTGTATAATTTAGGAGCATATTTTTTACGAAGGGATTAGATAAGAGAACAAGAGACTTTAAAAAATATCTTGTTAACTATAGATAGTTATACCAATTTGGGGAATCTATAACGTAACATTATAATTGCTACGTATTTTATAATAATATACTACCAGCTACGGTTGCTAAATTCTATAATATGGACGCGAAAGATATATAAAAAAAAAAAAATTAATTTTTAATTATGGAATTTTGAGTATAATCTATTCAAATCAATCGAACCTTCTATGTTTCTGGTACTATTAAAACGACCTGTCTTGATAATTATACGCTTTTATATATAATTTCTTAATGTCAGTTCTTTGTCAACTTTCATAATATGTATCAGTAACGTTAGAAATTTTCACATTATTACGCAAAGAAATCATAACTGGTGAAGATTTATTCAATTATTGTTATTGTAAAATGATTGAAACAATCGAGTTCTAATAATGGATGAAATAAATTTTACCAATTTATGCCCATTTTAACATTAACATCATATCGAAATTAAATAGGATATAACCTCTCTTTTTTTGGATAATTTTAACTGGCATTATACGACTAATTGTAAATTTCTTTGGCTGTTCTATCTGTCATTTCCTTATATATTGTAACTGAACTCCAATTAAATTAATCTTATGCGCGTTTGTGAATATAAACGACACTTAATTACTTAAAGTCCTATGAGTAACAATTATCACGAATTCACGACAAACAATTTATGTTTATTATTACTATTGTTATTTAGTCTGAGCAATCTAACCTAGACGCAATTGTTACTATATTATCCACATATGAGTCTAAGTCATAAATACTTTGTATGTTAGACTATTCTCGTTACACTAGATCACTGAGGTCATAATTTTCTTTTAATAAAACAACATATTGGATGAGCGACTGACGCGTAACATTAAATTATCTTTTATCATTCGTCATATAAGTTATCGATTCTCGAATAATTCTTTTGGCGAACTAAATAACATTTACACAGGTTAATAAGACAAATTCCTCGAAAAGTTCAATCATTTTTATGTAATTATAACCCTTTTTAGAGCAGTACTAAAAGATAATTATCTTTGTGAAATCTCTTATATATATAAATATATTTGAAATACCGTAATACTATAAATATTATACAGTACATTATTGAACTAATCCTCGCCCATTTTTGAATCAAAAATTAATAAAGCTTATTTTGATTGATTGATTTGACTATAGAGAAAAACTTCCCAATATTGATAATAATTTTAATTACTTTAAACAATAAATGATAAAAAATATTTCGCATAGTTATGTTGAATAATTGATACATAGATATTTTTATTATTAATCGATAATACTGTAAATATAATTTTCAGTATTTATTAGTTATATCGCCTATATCGCCAATATAATGTTCATAAAAAAATCATATTAAACTCGAAACTAATTAACTAATTTTGATTTTTTTAATTTGTATTAAGATAAGCTTGTACGTGTTTGAAAAGTTTATTCGTAGTTTTTTTTTGTTTAAAAAAGTTAATAAAAGCCAAACTGACCCACAGCAAATATAATGAAAAATATCTTTGTTTGTAATCAGGAATACTCAGCGTTTAATTTCTGTTAATATTTTTATTAACGAAATAATATTGAATAACTGATTAATATTAACTGAAATTCTTAATTTGGTTAAATATGAAAATGGTTCGAAATAAATATTTTTGACTTAGTGAAAGTTTTAATTATAAATTCAAATATATTAAATTTTTATTTTTTTATAAAGTACGTCCAATAATTAACAAACCTTATAGTGGTTCAGATGTTAGTGTTAGTATACGTGGCCGCTTAGAAACGAACCATTCCTAATTTCGTGCTTATTCTCTCTGACCAATCGCCTTAGCTCATAATTTTAAACGCCATTAGTATATAATTTCTTATGTTCTTATGGTAAATGCTGCTGTAGAATAAATTGTACCTTTTTAATGTAATTCATGATACCCAGTTCGGTTCAGCTTTTTACTTTTCTACCCATCTTTCCGTTTATTTGCCGCCTTCAAAATGGTTAAATTGTTGAGTAATATGATGGAGGGAAAAAAATGTGTACATTCCAGTACACCATAAAAGTTCAATCATTTCATGGCTCACAAATTTTGTCGGTTAGTATGACCCGAACCTTTATAAAACCATTAGGTCATTAGTCGATCTATGATTTTGGCGTAGATGTACAACCATCAATATTTAATTTAACTATTTTTGAAATGATTTAAATATTACAAAATGGCCAGTATTTAATTTTGATCGTCTTTTTTTTTTTATTTTAAAATTATAAATTATGTCCGCCGAATTTTTCTCAAAATTAAGTCAAAATTATATTGAATTATTAAAAGATGATGAATATTATGATATTACAATTGAAGTTGGTGAAGATCCTAATGTAAAAATATTTCGTGCTCATATGAATATTTTATGTTATCGTTCTCCATATTTACGACGAGTTTTGGCTTCTAACAAAAAAGAAGATAACATTTTATCTCACATTAGATTACCAAATATATCACCGGAAATTTTTCAAATTATTTTAGAGTAAGTTCTAATTTTATATTATCCATACAATAACCTTGAAGAATCAAATTATTAACTTTAAATTTTTCGTAATACAGATATATATATGGTGGTATTATTTCTTTAAGTGGACAGGATACTTCAGACATTCTAGATGTTTTGTTGGCTGCAAATGAGCTTTGTTTTCAGGAACTAGTTGATTATTTACAAAAATATTTAATTGAAAATAAATCTGAGTGGATGAAAGAAAATTTCGAATTTACTCAACGAATCAGTTCACAATCTAATAATTTAGTGGAACTTCAACAATTTTGTACAGATTTTGTTGCTAAATATCCTGAAAGAATACTTAAGTCGCTTTATTTTACTTCACTTTCCGAGAAATTGTTGATTTCACTCATTAAGAGGGATAATTTACAAATGAAAGAAGTTGAAATTTGGGAACATGTATTAAAATGGGGTCTTGCACAAAATCCTACTCTCGTTTCAGATCCTAATGATTGGTCAGATAATGATTTTAAAACAATGGAGAATACTTTGCAATATTGCCTACCATTTGTTAGACTTTTTAGTTTATCATCCAAAGAATTTTCAGATAAAGTTAGACCATATCAAAAGCTTTTTAAACGTCAATCTTATGAAGATCTATTAAATTCTTATTTGGATCCTTATTATGAACCAAGTGACAGTATCTCACTTCCTAGAAATATTGAAATAGATGGAATTATTGATTCAAAAATTGTTAATTTAAATATTGTTTCAATTATTTCAAGATGGATTGATAAAGTAGATGTTAATTGTAAATTTTCTCATTTAAGAGAATTATATTTACCATACGAATTTCAATTATTGATAAGAGGAAGCCGAGATGGATTTACTCCTAGAAAGTTTCATACTTTATGTGATAATAAGCATAATACAGTTACATTTATTAAAGTAAAGGATTCAGAAGAAATTCTTGGTGGATACAATCCAATAACATGGATGAATGTTAATTCTTGGGGTGAAGCTCAAAATTGTTTTATTTTTTCTTTTAAAAATAGAAGTAATTTTAAAGATGCAATTTTGAGTATTGTAAAATATACAGACAACGCGTTGAATTATCATCCTGATCATGGCCCATTCTTTGGCAATGACCTTATAATATATACATCTGAAGAATCTAAAGATTCAGCTGATATAGATTTTGATACGACAAAAGTTTGTAATGAAACATCTTGTTACGAAAAAAGTATAAGGGAAGGAGGGGAATTTCTAATGGAAGATTATGAAATCTTTCAAATTATAAAAAGATAAATAGTATTTTTTTTATTTTGTTTCTTCGTATCTATACAATATGTAATTTTTATTAACTTTTCCTGGAATAAGCAGTAAAAATGAAACGTGGTATATTGTAAATAAAATTATATACCTTATTTATTTTTCGTTTTTTTTTTCATTCTCGGTATAATTTATATTTACTATTCAACTGAAATTATTCAAATTTATCATTTGAACATTAGCTACAGTATATGTAAGTGCTTATGGCGACTATGCGTTAGTTAAATGCACATCAATATTTTAATTTAGCCATTTTTGAAATAATTATATTACAAATGGAGTAATTTATCGCCAATATTTTTGATCGATTTTTTTTTTACTTTTAAATTATGTCTGCCGAATTTTTTTCGAAATTAATTCAAAATTATGTTGAATTATTGGAAGATGATGAATATTATGATATTACAATTGAAGTTGGCGAGGATCCTAATGTAAAAATATTTCGTGCTCATATGAATATTTTATGTTATCGTTTTTCATATTTTCGGCGGGTTATAGCTTCTAATAAAAAGGACAACGTTTTAGCTCATATTAAATTTATAAAAATATCACCGGAAATCTTTCAAATGATTTTGAGGTATTTTATAATTTTTATATAAAATACATTTAAAACATTTTTTTTAAAATATTTATATTTTATTAACTGGATTTGTGATATAGGTATATTTATGGTGGTATTCTTTCGTTAAATGAACAAGAAAATTCAGATTTTCTTAAAGTATTGGCTGCTGCGGATGAACTTCGTCTCCAAGAACTAGTTGATTATTTACAAAAATATTTAATTGAAAATAAGTCCGAATGGATGGAAGAAAATTTTGAATTTACTCAACGAATCAGCTTACAATCTAATAATATAGTGGAGCTTCAACAATTTTGTGAAAATTTTATTGCTAAATCACCTGAAAAAAATATTTAAACCACTTTATTTCACTTCGATTTCTGAAAATTTTTTAATTTCACTTATTAAGAGAGATGATTTACAAATGAAAGAAATTGAAATATGGGAGCATGTATTAAAATGGGGACTTGCACAAAATCCCACTCTCGTTACAGATCCTAATGTTTGGTCAGATGATGATTTTAAAACAATGGAAAATACCTTGCAACATTGTCTACCTTACGTTAGACTTTTTTGTCTATCATCAAAAGAATTCTCACAAAAAGTTAGTCCATATAAAAAACTCTTAAATAAACAACTATATGAGGATTTATTAAATTCTTACTTGGATTCTGGTCGTGAACCGATTGAAGACATTTCATTGCCTAGAAAAATTGGAAATAATGAAATTATTGATTCAAAAATTGTTAATTTAAATATTGTTTCAATTATTTCAAGATGGATTGATAAAGTAGATGTTAATTATAACTTTTCTCATTTAAGAGAATTATATTTACCATATAAATTTCAATTATTGATAAGAGGAAGCCGAGATGGATTTACTCCTAAAAAGTTTCATACTTCATGTGATAATAAACATAATACTGTTACTTTTATAAAAGTAAAGGATTCAGAAGAAATTCTTGGTGGATATAACCCTCTAAAATGGGAATCTTCTGATACTTGGGGTAAAACTAATGTTAGTTTTATTTTTTCTTTTAAAAATAAGAATAATTTTAAAGATGCAATATTGAGTATTATAAAAGATACAAACAACGCGTTGAATTATCATTCCATATTTGGTCCATGTTTTGGCAAAGATCTTTTAATGTATACATATATAGGTGCAGCTGATATAGATTTTGATATGACGGAAGTTTGTAGTGAATATTACGAAAAAAGAATAAGAGAGGAAGGCGAATTTCTGATGGAAGATTATGAAATCTTTCAAATTATTAAAAATAAATAGTATTTTTTTTTTTCTTATTTTGTTTTCTTCGTATCTATGCAATATGTAATTTCTTTTGGAATAGTCAGTAAAATGTAACATGACATATTGTGAAATAAAATTATAAACCTTATTTTTCATACAGATTATTACATAATAATTTTATATTCAAAATATTCAAATTTTATCATTATTTATAAATGTGAACCAGCTACATATCATGACATCAATATTTAATTTAACCATCTTTGAAATAATTATATATTAGTTTAACGACCGATATTTAATTTGATCGTCTTTTCATGGTATCTTGTTTTTTAAAAATTATGAATTATGTCTGCCGAATTTTTTTCAAAATTAAGTCAAAATTATATTGAATTATTGAAAGATGATAAATATTATGATATTACAATTGAAGTTGGTGAAGATCTTAATGTAAAAATCTTTCGTGCTCATATGAATATTTTGTGTTATCGTTCTCCATATTTACGACGAGTTTTGGCTTCTAACAAAAAAGAAGATAACATTTTATCTCACATTAGATTACCAAATATATCATCGGAAATTTTTCAAATTATTTTAGAGTAAGTTCTAATTTTATATTATCCATACGATAACTTTGAAGATCAAATTATTAACTTTAAATTTTTTGTAATTCAGATATATATATGGTGGTATTATTTCTTTAAATGAACAGAATACTTCAGACATCCTAAATGCTTTGTTGGCTGCAGATGAGCTTTGTCTTCAGGAACTAGTTGATTATTTACAAATATATTTAATTGAAAATAAATCCGAGTGGATGAAAGAAAATTTTGAATTTACTCAACGAATCAGCTCACAATCTAATAATTTAGTAGAGCTTCAAAAATTTTGTGCAGATTTTGTTGCTAAGTCTCCTGAAAGGATATTTAAGTCGCCTCATTTTACTTCACTTTCTGAAGAATTTTTGGTTTCACTCATTAAGAGGGATGATATACAAATGAAAGAAGTTGAAATTTGGGAACATGTATTAAAATGGGGTCTTGCACAAAATCCTTCTTTCGTTGCAGATCCTAATGTTTGGTTAGATAATGATTTTAAAATAATGGAGAACACTCTGCAACATTGCCTACCGTTTGTTAGACTTTTTAGTTTATCATCCAAAGAATTTTCAGATAAAGTTAGACCATATCAAAAGCTTTTTAAACGTCAATCTTATGAAGATCTATTAAGTTCTTATTTGGATCCTTATTATGAACCAGGTGACAGTATCTCACTTCCTAGAAATATTGAAATAGATGGAATTATTGATTCAAAAATTGTTAATTTAAATATCGTTTCAATTATTTCAAGATGGATTGATAAAGTAGATGTTAATTGTAAATTTTCTCATTTAAGAGAATTATATTTACCATACGAATTTCAATTATTGATAAGAGGAAGCCGAGATGGATTTACTCCTAGAAAGTTTCATACTTTATGTGATAATAAGCATAATACAGTTACATTTATTAAAGTAAAGGATTCAGAAGAAATTCTTGGTGGATACAATCCAATAACATGGATGAATGTTAATTCTTGGGGTGAAGCTCAAAATTGTTTTATTTTTTCTTTTAAAAATAGAAGTAATTTTAAAGATGCAATTTTGAGTATTGTAAAATATACAGACAACGCGTTGAATTATCATCCTGATCATGGCCCATTCTTTGGCAATGACCTTATAATATATACATCTGAAGAATCTAAAGATTCAGCTGATATAGATTTTGATACGACAAAAGTTTGTAATGAAACATCTTGTTACGAAAAAAGTATAAGGGAAGGAGGGGAATTTCTAATGGAAGATTATGAAATCTTTCAAATTATAAAAAGATAAATAGTATTTTTTTTATTTTGTTTCTTCGTATCTATACAATATGTAATTTTTATTAACTTTTCCTGGAATAAGCAGTAAAAATGAAACGTGGTATATTGTAAATAAAATTATATACCTTATTTATTTTTCGTTTTTTTTTTCATTCTCGGTATAATTTATATTTACTATTCAACTGAAATTATTCAAATTTATCATTTGAACATTAGCTACAGTATATGTAAGTGCTTATGGCGACTATGCGTTAGTTAAATGCACATCAATATTTTAATTTAGCCATTTTTGAAATAATTATATTACAAATGGAGTAATTTATCGCCAATATTTTTGATCGATTTTTTTTTTACTTTTAAATTATGTCTGCCGAATTTTTTTCGAAATTAATTCAAAATTATGTTGAATTATTGGAAGATGATGAATATTATGATATTACAATTGAAGTTGGCGAGGATCCTAATGTAAAAATATTTCGTGCTCATATGAATATTTTATGTTATCGTTTTTCATATTTTCGGCGGGTTATAGCTTCTAATAAAAAGGACAACGTTTTAGCTCATATTAAATTTATAAAAATATCACCGGAAATCTTTCAAATGATTTTGAGGTATTTTATAATTTTTATATAAAATACATTTAAAACATTTTTTTTAAAATATTTATATTTTATTAACTGGATTTGTGATATAGGTATATTTATGGTGGTATTCTTTCGTTAAATGAACAAGAAAATTCAGATTTTCTTAAAGTATTGGCTGCTGCGGATGAACTTCGTCTCCAAGAACTAGTTGATTATTTACAAAAATATTTAATTGAAAATAAGTCCGAATGGATGGAAGAAAATTTTGAATTTACTCAACGAATCAGCTTACAATCTAATAATCTGGTGGAGCTTCAACAATTTTGTGTAGATTTTATTGCTAAATCACCTGAAAAAAATATTTAAACCACTTTATTTCACTTCGATTTCTGAAAATTTTTTAATTTCACTTATTAAGAGAGATGATTTACAAATGAAAGAAATTGAAATATGGGAGCATGTATTAAAATGGGGACTTGCACAAAATNATGATGATATTAAAACGTTGAAAAATACTCTACAACATTTTTTACCTTTGATGAGACTTTATAGTTTATCATCAAAAGAATTCTCACAAAAAGTTCGTCCATATAAAAAACTCTTAAATAAACAACTATATGAGGATTTATTAAATTTTTACTTAGATTCTGATCGTGAACCAACTGAAAACATTTCATTGCCTAGAAGTATTGGAATTGATGGAATTTTTGATTCGGAAATTGTTAATTTAAATATTGTTTCAATTATTTCAAGATGGATTGATAAAGTTGATGTTAATTATAAATTTTCTCATTTAAGAGAATTATATTTACCGTATAAATTTCAATTATTGATAAGAGGAAGGATGAGTTTACTCCTAAAAAGTTTCATACTTTATGTGATAATAAATGCCATACTGTTACCTTTATAAAAGTAAAGGATTCAGAAGAAATTCTAGGTGGATATAACCCTTTAAAATGGGAATCTTCTAGAACTTGGGGTAAAACCAATGCTAGTTTTATATTTTCTTTTAAAAATAAGAATAATTTTAAGGATGCAATATTGAGTATTATAAAAGATACAAACAACGCATTGAATTATCATTCCATATTTGGTCCATGTTTTGGCAAAGATCTTTTAATGTATACGTCTACAGGTTCAGCTGATATGGATATTGATGTGACAAAAATTTATAATGAACAAAATTATTACGAAAAAAGTATAAGAGAAGGAGGAAATTTTCCAATGGAAGATTATGAAATCTTTCAAATTATAAAAGATAAATAGTATTTTTTTTTTCTTTCTTATTTGTTTCTTCGTATCTATGCAATATGTAATTTTTTTTAATAAACACTTTCCTGAAATAGTCAATAAAATGAAACATGACATATTATGAAATAAAATTATAAACCTTTTTCACTTTTTCATTTTTCAATACCATATCATTGCTTATATTTAATATTCAAATTATTCAAATTTATCATTATTTATAAATGAGAACCAGCTACAGTCAAGTTATGACGTAGTAAATGCACATCAATATTTAATTTAACCATTTTTGAAATAATTATATATTAGTTCAACACCCAATATTTAATTTGATCGTCTTTTTCTTATTTTTAAAATTATAAAATATGTCCGCCGAATTTTTTTCAAAATTAAGTCAAAATTATGTTGAATTATTGGAAGATAATGAATATTATGATATTACAATTGAAGTTGGTGAGGACCCTAATGTAAAAATATTTCGTGCTCATATGAATATTTTATGTTATCGTTCTCCATATTTTCGGCGGGTTATGGCTTCTAATAAAAAGAAGGACAACGGTTTAGCTCATATTAAATTTCCAAATATATCACCGGAAATCTTTCAAATTATTTTGAGGTATTTTATAATCTTTTATAACATACATTTAAATATTTATATTTTATTAACCGGATTTTTGATATAGATATATTTATGGCGGTACTCTTTCGTTAAATGAGCAAGAAACTTCAGATTTTCTTAAAGTATTGGCTGTTGCGGATGAACTTCGTCTCCAAGAACTAGTTGATTATTTACAAAAATATTTAATTGAAAATAAGTCCGAATGGATGGAAGAAAATTTTGAATTTACTCAACGAATCAGCTTACAATCTAATAATCTGGTGGAGCTTCAACAATTTTGTGTAGATTTTATTGCTAAATCACCTGAAAAAATATTTAAAACACTTTATTTCACTTCGATTTCTGAAAATTTTTTAATTTCACTTATTAAGAGAGATGATTTACAAATGAAAGAAATTGAAATATGGGAGCATGTATTAAAATGGGGACTTGCACAAAATCCCACTCTCGTTACAGATCCTAATGTTTGGTCAGATGATGATATTAAGACGTTGAAAAATACTCTACTACATTGTTTACCTTTGGTGAGATTTTTTAGTTTATCATCAAAAGAATATTCACAAAAAGTTCGTCCATATAAAAAACTCTTAAATAAACAATTATATGAGGATTTATTAAATTCTTACTTAGATTCTGATCGTGAACCAACTGAAAACATTTCATTGCCTAGAAATATTGGAAATATTGGAAATATTGGAATTATTGATTCAAAAATTGTTAATTTAAATGTTGTTTCAATTATTTCAAGATGGATTAATAAAATTGATGTTAATCATAAATTTTCTTATTTAAGAGAATTATATTTACCATATAAATTTCAATTATTGATAAGAGGAAGCCGAGATGGGTTTACTCCTAAAAAGTTTCATACTTTATGTGATAATAAACATAATACTGTAACCCTATAAAAAATTTTTATCCGAATATTTCCATTATTTCTCCGTGTCTTCCGTAAAAATTCCGTGAAAATGATACATTCACGGATATCCGTGTTAGCGAGATGAAAATTTCCATGATTTAAGGCTATTAATTCCATGAAAATGATACATTCACGGAAAAAACATGGAAAGATAAAACACGGATCAGATTTTTTACAGGGTAACTTTTATAAAAGTAAAGGATTCAGAAGAAATTCTTGGTGGATATAATCCAATAATATGGTCGAATTCTAATTCTTGGGGTAAAACTAAAACTAGTTTTATTTTTTCCTTTAAAAATAAGAATAATTTCAAAGCTGCAATTTTGAGTATTGTAAAAAGTACAAATAACGCGTTGAATTATCATCCTGGTCATGGCCCATGCTTTGGCAACGACCTTTTAATATATACATCTGACGAATCTGAAGATTCGGCTGATATGGATTTTGATGGGGCGGAGGTTTATGATGGAGCAGAATGTTATGAAAATAGTATAAGAGAAAAAGGTAAATTTCCAATGGAAGATTATGAAGTATTTCAAATTATAGAGTAATTGGTATATTTATTTTGCAATAGCAAATTTGTAAAATAATAACCAGGATGATATTATATATGCTTACTTAGTCAATGAACCAAACATTAGTCATTATTAATAAATTTTTTATGATTTTATTAATGATGAATATTGTAAAAATTCTCGTGAATATTCCCAATAAAATGTGTTATAACAGAGGAAGATTTTACTGTTTCAGCATAAATCCAAATCAGTTATTATTTGAGAATTTTTTATGATTAGGCCATTCCAACTAGATTGTTTGTTTAATGTACCCTTATATTTTTTTAAATTTTGATAATGTATAACATGTACATGCATGTTTAAAATATCCATTTAAATTATAAATTTTCTGAAGTTTCCAAAATTTATTTCATTTAGTTTGTTTAATGAAAACCCCCTCCCCCTCAAACTTTCAGAAATCTGGACGTTGAACAAACAGAACAGTCCTATTAATAAAAATTTACGGGTGTTTCAACACGTATCACGTGACCATATAAAAAAAAAATTAATACAGAATATTAATTTAGGTGACTTGTAAAGTTGTTGTAATACATCCGTGACTTCAGGTAATTCTTTGTTATTATATTCACCGTTACATAAATATAAATTACATAAATATAATAATGAGAATTCGGTTTGAGTTTTTCATTTGCGCAGTCGTCGAGGACCCAGAAATATATATACAGGGGTAGGGTACACAGATGCGTCGCCATCATAGTGGAATTAGACGGAGTAAAGTTTTGATTAGCGTACAATTTAAGAATTTTTCATCCATAGTTAGGCCATCAAGATTGCGTATTTTTATCAAAATTTTTATATGTAAAAAATTAGTTTGCGTATTTTTGGCCTAAATTTGGCTAATCTTATATATATAATATATTCACTGTACGTTAGTAATATTTAGTATTAAATGAAAGAAATTTCTAAGGGTTAAAAAGTGAAATTTTAGAAAATTATTATTGAAAAAATGGTAAATTAGAATAAATTCTATCTTTTCACATTAGTATTTGGTTTATAAATAATATAGAAGTCATAATAAAATAATTAATAACTTAATACCTGAAATTTTATTTGCATGATTTTCAATATCAGGTGTATCAGGTGTCAATTATGCGTACTAGTACTCATATAAAAAGTCTCTGCGTACAGCTCATAGTAAAAAAAATTTTCGCCACCTGACCCTTATATATATATTTCTGGGTCCTAGTCGTCGTGTTGGAATTTTCCTATGAAATAAGGAGCGTTAATGACTGTCAAACGTAGCCGCAAATATATTGTATTTAATTTTATTTTTAATATATAGACAAAACCGGAACCTTAGCTATCTACTGTAAGCAGTACGAATTACAAAAACGAAACACGCTAAAATAAAACTAAGTTGTTTAACCCCAAGGAACTGGATAGGAGCCGCTCTGCCAAATTATTCTAGGAACCCTAGGCGTAGCCGGATTAACCACCAAAACCAGACTGATATTGTATTTAAGACGTTTATTGTTTAGCGAAAGTAAATCAATTTTATCACGTGACAATTTTTGTTCCACGCTGCTTATAGACTTGTGCTAATTTGCTAATTTGCATAAATACACATCAATATTTAATTTAACTATTTTTGAAGTAATTATATATCACAAAATGGCAAAATGGCTAGTATTTAATTTTGATCGCCTTTTCCTCATTTTTTTTTTTTTTATTTTTAAAATTATAAATTATGTCTGCCGAATTTTTCTCAAAATTAAGTCAAAATTATATTGAATTATTGAAAGATGATGAATATTATGATATTACAATTGAAGTTGGTGAAGATCCTAATGTAAAAATATTTCGTGCTCATATGAATATTTTATGTTATCGTTCTTCATATTTTCGGCGAGCTTTAGCTTCTAATAAAAAGAAGGACAACGTTTTAGCTCATATTAAATTTCCAAATATATCACCGGAAATCTTTCAAATTATTTTGAGGTATTTTATAATTTTTATATAAAATGCATTTAAAGCATTTTTTTTTTAATATTTATATTTTATTAACTGGATTTGTGATATAGGTATATTTATGGTGGTATTCTTTCGTTAAATGAACAAAAAACTTCAGATTTTCTTAAAGTTTTGGCTGCTGCGGATGAGCTTCGACTCCAAGAACTAGTTGATCATTTACAAAAATATTTAATTGAAAATAAGTCTGAATGGATGGAAGAAAATTTTGAATTTACTCAACGAATCAGCTTACAATCTAATAATTTTGTGGAGCTTCAACAATTTTGTGCAAATTTTATTGCTAAATCACCTGAACAAATATTTAAATCACTTACTTCGATTTCTGAAAAATTTTTAATTTCACTTATTAAGAGAGATGATTTACAAATGAAAGAAATTGAAGTATGGGAGCATGTATTAAAATGGGGACTTGCACAAAATCCTACTCTCGTTTCAGATCCTAATGTTTGGTCAGATGATGATTTTAAAACAATGGAAAATACCTTGCAACATTGTCTACCTCACGTTAGACTTTTTAGTTTATCATCAAAAGAATTCTCACAAAAAGTTCGTCCATATAAAAAACTCTTAAATAAACAATTATATGAGGATTTATTAAATTCTTACTTAGATTCTGATCGTGAACCAACTGAAAACATTTCATTGCCTAGAAGTATTGAAATTGATGGAATTATTGATTCAAAAATTGTTAATTTAAATATTGTTTCGATAATTTCAAGATGGATTGATAAAATAGATGTTAATTATAAAATTTCTCATTTAAGAGAATTATATTTACCATACAAATTTCGATTATTAATAAGAGGAAGTCGGGATGGATTTACTCCTAGAAAATTTCATACTTTATGTGATAATAAGCATAATACAGTTACATTTATTAAAGTAAGGGAATCAGAAGAAATTCTTGGCGGATACAATCCAATAATATGGATGAATTCTAATTCTTGGGGTAAAACTCAAAATAGTTTTATTTTTTCTTTTAAAAATAGAAATAATTTTAAAGATGCAATTTTGAGTATTGTAAAAGATACAAACAACGCGTTGAATTATCATACCGAACATGGTCCATGCTTTGGCAAAGAACTTTTGATATATACATCTGAAGATTCTGCTGATATAGATTTTGATAAGACAATCTGTCATGAACAAAAATTCTATGAAAAAAGCATAAGAAAAAAAGGTGAATTTCCATTGGAGGATTATGAGGTATTTCAAATTATAAAATAATTTGGGATTTGTATTCGTGTTTTCTCTTTAATATTGTAAATATTTCATATTTATAATTATTAGTACTTGATTTCTAAAAAATTTTTGATTTGGTAGCAAAACATTAAATTGCAATAATAAGTTTATAAAATAATAATCAGGTTATTGTACAGTATATACTTTGAAATCCAATAAATTAAAGGATAAACTTCTATAATTTTAGCTAACCATTAAAATTATAAAAATATTGTGTATTTAAAGCCATAGTTTAGATTCAAACTAGTTATAATATTCGAGAATTTTTTTCGTTAATATTTAATGATAAAACAATACATGCAACATTATTATAATTCAGTCTTGAATTGAGCTAAAATTATAAGCAAACGTCTAACGCTAACGGGGAGCTCCTGACTAATGATTAATATATATATTTATCGCAAATTACATAATAAATTGTTCATTTTTTTGGGAAAACTTGATTTGTTACTATGAGGTTAAGCAATATCACATTATCCAACACGTGACAAGATATAATGCTGACCTCAGATCTGCAAAGAATGATTTTTTCGTTTAAATAAAAAAAAATGATTTTTTTTCATTTATTTAATAAAAAAAATTACTTGTTTTTAGTTTTCATTTTTAATAAAAAAAAAGAATGATTTTTTATGAAAAATCAGTTGTGTTTCATTTTTAATAAAAAAAATGATTTTTTTTCGTTTTTAATAAAAAGAACAACTTCTTATTAATTAATAAAAAAATTTGTTTGTTCCTTTTTAATAAAAAAAGGACGATTTTTTATGAAAAATTCAGGTGTTTCACTTTTTAATGAAAAAAAGACATTTTTATTAATTAATGACTGTGTCACCACCAGATACGATTTTTATACATATTTTAAAAGTACAACAATTTATGCAGGGCATAGTGAAAAAGAAATTGTTTGTTTGATTGATGATGATGATTTAGCGAGTGTAATCTGGACTCAAGGGTTCAAGGCGCTCCCAATCGTCGTGGACGCATGTAAGTCTTGTTCTATTTTTTGAGAATAACGCGTAAAATGTCTAACAAAGATTGTTTTTGGTGTTTATAGTACAACAGCCATTCTCATCATTACATTGATCTGCCCAGGTTCGATGGAGGGTCCGCTGATGTTGCCAATTACGAAAAGGTATTAGAGCAAATTTAGCGATAAAGCATAAGACCTGTATTCATATCACTAGCGCAAACGAAGCAACACGACATGAGTTTATTTCATCCGTTTTCATTGCGTTTCTTGTTATGATGGTGAAGTGGGTATGCCAAGAATATAAGTCTTCTGGAAGTCATGGGAAAGGGCCAGTGGATTGGGTTATCAAGATTGGTGATACAATTGTTGTTATCGAGGCTAAAAGGGAGGATATTAACCAGAGGTTAGTCAGAATGCAATCCAGTTACACCAACGTGATAAAAGAAATGTACATATAATGAGCTTTGCATGAGATGGTATCGTTTCAACAGGGTTGACTGGGTCATAATTAGTTAGTCACTACTGTACTGGCGATTGCAATGATATCGAAATGTCAAGGTATTATTGAGTTCACAAACACCATTTACTTTTCCCATTAATGAGAGTGTGTTTGACAGAAGTCTCACGCTTGAGAAACTCAAGAACTTGGTCGTTGATGTATCCGGCTTCATAATAGACCAACAAAATACCATCATGCTAATGGAACTAAGATAAGGAAATAAATGATTTAATTCCAAAAGAACCTGCCAACGTACCAGACTCAGTTATAGCTCAACTCAAACAGTGTAAGCCTGATTGCAAAATAAATAATACTAGCTCCAAGTTGTTAGAGGACAGAGATTTGGACGCTTTTTTGGATGAAGTACAGAAGAAAAAGGTTATTACTGATGAAATGAGGCAAATGAAGCAGAGTAAAAAGCTTAGAGAAGATGATTCCCAGAAGAATTTGGATTCAGGGTGCTCATAGCTGGTAGCTTTTTCTACCTCTTCTCAGGAATTTGTTATTCCTTTGAATGAAGAAAATGAAAAGAGACCAATTTCTGTTGAATCAGAGTAAACAGATGAGGAGCAACTGAAGGCTTGAGGTAGGAATTATCCGCTTGCACTAAAGTCAGTGATAGCAAGATTGATAAGATGTTTGATATTCAGATTTTCGAACTCTCTTTAGAAGCAATTCTTACGGGATCTAGTGAAGTTACGGCAAATATAGTTCGTCTGTTTAGGTAGCAATCAAGGCCAAACAAAAGGAAATCTTATGCTAGTATTGTTATTATAAGATGTACGAGGATCGAATTGGAGATGTCAAATTTGTAAACAACATCGATGACCAATCAGCAAGGACATTGGTGTACAATGAGATCAAAGCCACATTACTGATGTAAAACTTGCGCAAGAAAGCGTCCAGAAAAAAAAATCTACACACTATTCATGGGAATAAGAATAGATAAGATCTAAGCAATTATAATGCAAGCGCGATTTCAAGCTTGACTGAGGCTCGGATTCAATTGCTTCAAGTTTTCTACGGACAACATAGATGAATGCCAAAAAGTGATCGACGTGACAAATTGTCACGCGCACATGACCGAATCTTCTGAGGTAAGCGTCTCAACCACATCTATTCCTTTAACCATATCCCCAATTCTTCAGGTAATTCCTCTGTAATCAGTCCAATTAATTCGTCACGAATAAACGATCAAAACCTCAAATACCTAGTAGTGTTCATGTTTTCGTCAAGAAATCAAGAGCTCCTCCTAAGTTCTCCTCTCTGCAAGAATCTATCAAAAAAGATGCGTAAAGAGGTTATTAATTTGGTGATAATCGACTTAATGTGCCCTACTTAGAACTAAACTTTTTGCATAGACAAGGATGGCGAGCATCAAATGGATTACTACACGATCTTTGGTTTACCCTTACGTTGCTTCGCAAAAATCTGTACTATGATTTGCACCAAAAAATATTTGTATTTGGACGGAAAATGGTGGATCGATGGTCAAGGCAGTAAAAGATATTACAGTATTTGAAAATACGATAATATCAAAGATCCCGGAATTCCACTTGATAAGGTATTAGAAGCGTATTCTGAGAACTTTGATCTAAATCGGCCTATTCCTTGGAGTCATGCTCTTATGTTCCAATAACAGTAGAGGCGTGAAATTCTTGACTAAGTGTAACATAGGAGATATGTGACGTAATATTTGTATAAATTACATGCGCATAACCTTTCGGCTAATATTTTTTTCTGCTATTCCAGTACTTTTTGACTTTACAAAGATAAGTTGAGTTATAGGAATGTGTATGCTAATTGCCGAAATTTGTAAGAAGCATTAACGCAATGAAGAAATGCAGTCATTAAATGGAGATCGCGGTAATTATTTGCACATAAAAACAGCAAAGACGTTCAAAATTTACTGAACACAACTTTAATCCAATTTACTGAAGCAAACCTCCCATTATTTTTCTCTTCAACATTAGGAATCTCGCGACAATATCGATACAGAATTTACTACTGAACTTCGCAACGTGATAAAGACATCATTTCCGTTAACATTGAGGCATTCACTGCGGACACGTACAGTATATTACAAGGAATGTATCGAAAAAAATTTTCTACTTACACAACAAAACAAACTGTCCCATCGCTATGTGCTGCAACCGTTAAGCCCGTGGTCTCCGAACGAACATTTTCTATATCTCCTCAATCAAGTACTTCATCGATAGTTGGAAGAATGAGGCAATCAATTTCAGATGAATTCACCAATCCAAATAATCAGTCAGTGGAAGCTTTCTCCAAAAGTCAAAGGAAAGGCTTAGGATGCCACTGCCCCCCGAACCTGTGGCAACGACCATACAATGACCCGTCATACCAGTCTACCAATGAATCACATCTAATCGGGCATCTTTTCCAATAATCTATTCAGCCTATCGCTATAATAATCCTCCTATATAAAGTATTTGACGTATTGATGTGCATATTTGGCGTGCATATTTGCATTGCGTCAATAAGATTTATGATTTGTTCAGTGAGTTGAGAGATAGGATCAAGCGAATTCAGCATTTTGACAAGTTGATATTTACTGCGCCACAAATCATATGACGTTGTGATATGATAGCACAACATGATGTTAGAAATTCTCTGTTATGATGTAGTTTTTTTCTTTTATACTCTAGAATATAAATATCAATAAAGTTTCGCCCACAAATTGTGCTTTATTTTAACATGTTTGCGCGAGTATGTGCGTGTTATACATCAATAAAAATTAAATATTTATCAAAACGAATAAACAATTAAATTGCATAATTTTTTACTAGTTTTTATTTATTTATTTTTTAATTTGTCTTTAAAACTTCTTGATTAAACGAGAAAAGCCAAATTTAATCATTAAATTTGTTCAATTTGTTCGTGATGCGACACGTATATAAATAATAAATAAAGTCGTGTTTATGTGGCGTTTTTTTGTGGCACAGCAGGTTCCAACTACAAATGATTAGGATCCGCGTACTCTTTGGTGGCATCACTTATTTCACTTGCAATCTCTAAGCACCATATAATGACAGCTGATTTAAAAAATAGAGATTGCCTCTACAAAAAAATTAAAAAAAAAAAATTAAAATATGAAATGAAATTCAATCTATTTTTTGTTCTCTTGGCTACCTTTATTACCATTGCTTTAATTCATCCATCAGCCGGAAGTGAATGTAAATTCCCTTGTTGCAAGAATGATGCTGATTGCGGTTCCGGTCGTTTCTGTAGTATTCGAACATTTTGTTCTCCTGGTTGTGGTAGATGCATAGGCGGAAAGTAAAGGTTGGTGATTTTTGTAATGTTTATACATATTAATAGTTATTTACTGTCTTGTATTTTTTAACTCAGTGTATTTGGCGAATAAAGAAATGATAGTGAGACGACTTTTTATGTGTAATATTGTAAAGCATGACGCATATTAATTAATAAAGTTTTTACCAGCAAATCCTATATATCGGAATTATGCTGGTGGTATGACGTATATATATATATTGTGTTAAATGATCACTTGCTAATACATTGTACTACGTTGCTTCGTAATTATACTGTACTCTAGAATTTCTAGCATTCAGACTGTGCATCGTGGTTACGGAAACGCACTCATAAATTCGCAACACATCAATACAATTTTTTTCTCGCTCAACTGCACATAATCTACCTACGGCCCATTGACAGCTCATAAATTTGAATCCTATAGTATAACTTGATAAAGAATCGCTATAATCGTATAAAAATTTTTTATGGATGTGCTCCGATTTTTACCTAGTTTCTGTCTTCCGAGAATGTTCCGAGGATGTTAGCAAGAAAACGGCCTAAGATTTGATGCTTTGCTATTTCCATTTCGGGAAGGTATTAAAGGATTGTTACGATTTCTACCGAGGATCTCATCTGGTTATTAATGACGAGGTTAGAAAACAGATTCCCGAACCAGTCAGTGAAAGCTTGCTCCGAAAGACAAAGGAAAGGGCCTAGAAGATTTATGATTTATTCAGTAAGTTGTGAATTGATAGATAGGATCAAACGAATTCAGACCTTTATAGCAATAACATTAATAGTAGTATTTCTTAGATTACGTTTTGGCAAAGATATTTACCGCGCAACAAGTCATATGACGTTGTGATATGATAGAGTAGCTATGATGTACTGTAGTTTTCTGTACTCTCGAATATAAAATATCAATAAAGTTTCGCCCACAGGTTGGGCTTTATTTTTAACATGTTTACGTGAGTGTGTACGTGTTATACATCAATAAAAATTTCGCCACCTTAAATATTTATCAAAACGAACAAACAATTAATTACATTTACTTTTTAATTTATCTTTAAAACTTCTTGAATGAACGAGAAAAACCAAATTTAATGATTAAATTTGTTCGTGATGCGACACGTATATAAATAATAAATAAAGTCGTGTTTTATGTGGCTTTCTTTGTGGCACAGCAAGCTCCAACTCTCGTCAAGAACAAATGATTAGGATCCGCGTACTCCTTTACTCTTTGATGGCATCACTTATTTCACTTGCAATCTCTAAGCACCATATAATGACAGTTGTGGTTAGCCAAGCATAAAGCCTCTAACCGATTTATACTGTATAAATATGCTCTTGAGCCACACGATTTGAAAAATAGAGATTGCCTCTACAAAAAAAATAAAAAAAGTAAAATAAAATGAAATTTAATCTATTTTTTGTTATCTTGACCACCTTTATTACCATTGCTTTAATTCATCCATCAGCGGGAAATAAATGTAAATTCCCTTGTTGCAAGAATAAAGCTGATTGCGGTCTCGGTTATTTCTGTAGTATTCGAACATTTTGTACTCCTGATTGTGGTAGATGCATACACATACGTTAAAGGTTGGAGATTTTTGTAATTTTAATACGTACTATTAGCTTTTTAATGATTAATTAGCTATTTACTGTCTTATATTTTTCAATTCAGTATATTTGGCGAATAAATAAATGATAGGGAGGCGATTTTTATATGTGGTATTGTAAAGCATGACGCATATTAATTAATAAAGTTTTTGCTAGTAAACCTATATATCGGACTAACTAATGTACATTATACTATATTCTGGTGGTATGACGTGAAATGATTACTTGCTAAATAAACACATTATCGGTCCAGTAACAACCCATATAAATTTGAATCCTAGTATAAACTTGATAAAGAATCTCTATAATTCGTTAAATGTATTCCGATTTTTATCTTCTGATTTTCATTATTCCTTTTTGATCCGAAAATCGATAATTTTCCGGAATAGTACTTGTAGATATTACCCAGTAAATATTATGAATGAAACCGGAATAATTAAAAAAAATAAAATAAAATAAAAATGATCGTAAACATGATTTCACTAAAATCACGCCAAACAATTTTGGAAACTAAATTATACTAACTTGAAATCGCAAGATCTGGTAGTAGGGCCTGTCTCTTATACACATCTAGATGTGTATAAGAGACAGGAATAGTACTTGTAGATATTACCCAGTAAATATTATGAATGAAACCGGAATAATTAAAAAAAATAAAATAAAATAAAAATGATCGTAAACATGATTTCACTAAAATCACGCCAAACAATTTTGGAAACTAAATTATACTAACTTGAAATCGCAAGATCTGGTAGTAGGGCTGTATCAAATTGGTTAAGTAGATTTTTTTTTTTCAGATTATTTAATTTAAATACGTTAAAAAAATCAATTTATCCCCAAAAAATACTTCCGGAAGATTAGAATTTTCGGGATTTATTCTAGCCAATTAAATTCAAGATAATCGATCATAACTCCAATTAGCTGAGTATGAATTATTTTTTGCCTTAGGTTTAGTCTTATTGTTTTAAACAGACCCTATAAAAAAATTGGATACGTTTTTTATAAAGTTTTTATACGATTTTTTTTCCTTAGAAATAACGTATCATAATAGGATACGGAAAAATGCACAATTCCGTATCACTAAAAATATGGTTTGGATACAGAATTTGCACGGGATTTATACTGTCTCTTATACACATCTAGATGTGTATAAGAGACAGTAGAAATAGAAAGAAGAAAATTTTTTTATAAAAAAAGAAGAGTGGGAATAAAAGAAAAAATTTTTTTTTAAGGGAGTGACGAAAAAAATTTTTTTTTCAAAGGAAGAGGTACGAAAAAAAAAATTATTTTTAAAAGGGGGTGACGAAGAAAGAAGAAAAATTTAGAAAAAATAACAAAAATAAGACAAGAGAAAGAGAAAGGAAAGGAAAGACAGAAAGGAAAAATCGGAAGATCAAACTCATCAAAAGTAAGGGTTTATATAAAAAACAAAAAACGTATCATAACAATAAACAATCATGTGATTTCGTGTTATGATACGGATTTTTGTAAATTATCTTCTAAAAATATTAAGTTTAAAAATTCCGTATACATTCCGCATGATTAATTTTTTCCGTATACATTTCTTATACATTAGTTTTTTTAAAAATGTTCAAAAATGAATTGCTTATTAAATATACGGAATTTGTATACGGAATCTATAGAAACGTACAAAAAATGTATACAAAACGTATCCTTTCCGTATACATATTTCTTATAGGGAGAGGGAACCGGTTGATTATTACTAATCAATCGAAATTTATCGAGCTCGTCCAAAATTTATTTTTATTATTTCATGTTTTTATTATTTTTATTTATTAATAACAAATTATTAATAAATTATAAATGAAACACTAAAATTTTTTATTCATTAATAAATAGAATCTTTACAAATTGATATTTCAGTTCTCAATTGAATGTTAATTAAAATGTAGACTTTTTTAATCAATACGATTAACGTGATTAATTTTGTTTTCTTTTTTATCCGTGACATTTATTTGTTTTTATTAGGTTCAAATAACGAATTTAATAGTTCATAAAATGGGTTGACAAAAGTCAAATTCTCCAATATTATCATTGTTATGTATTTATTTATAGCATAATACTTTGAAAACTTTTATTTTTCAGTATTGAACTAAAAAACTGAAGATAGAAAAAGTAATTAAAAAATTTTTTTTTGGTTTAAAAAAAAAATAATGAAAAAAAAATAATTATAAATAAAAAATCAGAAAAAGTGTTCACTGTAGCATTGATCCAAATTGGTATCAAAGAAAAATACGATTTAAAAAAAACTGGAAGAATAAAAATCAAAAATTCAACAATAAATTAAGAAAACCAGTTTAAAAAAGATGGAAAAAAGAGAAAGAACCAAAAAAAATTTTTAAATAATTTTGAAAACCGGAAAAATGGGTTTAAAAAACAAAAAAATTTGAAGGGAATGGCCAAAAAAAGAAATATGATTAATAACTTTTTGTAAAAAAAAAAAAATTATTCGATCAAAACTTTAATGGCTGTTGTAACGTGATAGCCAATCAAATGTTTCCAGCCATTATATTTACTTGATTATTTTATAATAAATTTTGTTATATCTTGTAAAGGTAAAAAAATTTTATTTAAAGTAATATAAACAATGTGATTTTGAATTTCTTAATTAAATGAGTTTATAAAAATCATTTTATCTCGGATTTGTATAAAATCATAAATATCAAGCGATATGCATAAAACGGAAATCTTTTAAATAAAGGGTCGAAGAAAGAGGAAATATTATTGTAAATTTATGCTCACGCTATACGATTTAATAAAATTTGTGAATAAAAAACGTGTCAACTTAACTTAATTTTTTAGTGGTTTATGCATTTTTTATTTTATTTTTGTTTTTTAACCAATTTCATTTTTATTATTGTTTCATTAATAAATAATAACTCAACCAAATAACTCAACCAAAGATTTTTTCAACTTTAAACCAAAATTTGTTTTCTTATTTTTATTTATTAATACCAAATTATTATTACTTTAGATTGACTTCGGCTTTGAAACAGATCAATATGGAGTGCTGCGCAGAATGCAGTAAGTCTTTTCTACCAGATTTTCCTATTTTTTTCTTCCTTATTTTCTGATTGAGCAAATTGTGAAGGTAGATAGATCTTAGCATAACGTCGGTCAGTCATTAAAATCATGTATCACGGGCAATACCCTGAACCATTATTTTCGCATGTAACATGGGAAGCGTCTCAAACCTTTGTATTTATTTTTTATCCTTCGGTCTGTATTAATAAAATCGCGCGCACGCGCTCACGTTTAATAAAGCATTAGACTATGCAGTGACGCCAGAGATGGCGAGATGCACTGTTTCAGAATACCGGAGGTAACGGTTAAAACAATGGCCTGATTGGGCAATCTTTATTATATTATATGTTTTACAATATGGTATATAAAAAAAGTGCTAACTTTGAGATCGTGCCGAATTTGAAACTTTGCTACCACATGATCAACATGACCAGGCGCAGCTTACACATGAATTCTTTTACTTTCATAATTAATTTTGCGATAGATGACGTTGAAAAGGTTTATTTGGATGTCAACCACCCGCTCTAATTTATCGTTGCTAATAAAAAAACAGATTATAGAGCTTCCCGCCACCTTCAGTTTTCTTTCGAATCGCACTCTTAATAACTTCTTTCGGGAGCTGACCTCGGATCTCGTCATTGACCTTCTTCTGAACCTCATGCTCCTCCCGTTGCGAGGCAATTATCGGCAGGGCAGTTGTTTTGCCGTGAAAGAAGAAATACTTTTTTATACAGCCCTTATGATACACATGTCCACAAAATAACACGGTAAATGCTTCGAACATTTATCGAGTTCAGTAAAATTCCGTGTCCTTTATAACGATATCGTCACCTAGTTTCTTTAGGATGCTGTAAGCGAGGTTTCGAATGCTGGGTAGAGACACCCTGTAATACCTGGTCTTTGGGAAGCTATAAACAAAAAAAAGACTGTTAATATAGCGCTTTGAATTTCCACAGGAACAAGCGATCACTGGATGGATCTTCATTAGCAATTACGTACTGCATTTCGAATCTCGATGATTAGCTTACACATTCCCCAAATAACTTAGATTTTTTAAAAATGCATATAGGTATGCAATTTGTACTGTATATCGAAAATAAAAATATGTAGTCACTTTGTAAATACTAACTGTGCATTGGAAAATGTAAAAAAATAAATTAGGAGAACAAACTAATGCTTTATTATACGACTTTATTAAGCCTTACAGCTGTTTAAGTATTAATATTACATGTCAATAATTAGAATAAATTTCATGTTATATTAATTACCATTTGTCAACCAAAGACTTCTCCTGTTCAAAGACAAGAGGTAAAAATGATTTGATCGCATTCTCCCTTTTTAAATCTGTCTTTTCGTCAAACAAAGTACTCCTTTGAGTATGAAGTGACCAAGGACGAGCGAAAAGTATTTTAGATAGTCTTTTACCAATTTCATCATCACAACATTTGAAAGACCTGGCGCCTCGAATATAGATAATATGCTTTTTACCTTTTTGAGCAGTATTACTTCGTAATTCCATAGTATCTTTACTCTTCATTTCCGCAGTTCATCATCTAAACCAAAGATCAATATATATACCTAGAACCTTATAGCCGCTCATTTTCTTACCAAAAGCAGTTTGCGGACCTGCTAAAGAAGTAATATCTGTAGTATCATTATAGTTTTTTAACATTCTTATTTTGAATTGAAATGATATCATAACCAGCGGAATATTTGAAAGGAATAATATGATCAATATCATAAAATCCATTGAATGCAGTGTGACGGTGATAGGCTTCCACGACAAGTTCTTTGATAGGAACTTATTCTCCCCGATTCCACATAATCTTATTGATAGCTAACAAAGATGTCCAATGGTTAAAGCTGATTTCTGCATCATGTATTTGCATATCTTTGAGAAACTTGTCAAGACTCTCTATTTCATTACGTAACAAAGACTACAAAAATAATTTCAAAGGAACTTTTTGTAAATATACAGTATAAGAGGTTCTTCAGAAAAATGTTCATTTACAGCATCAGCGTATGCTTTCAAAATATGACGCGATTGGCAAGTTCTCCCCTTTCTCCCGCTTTTACTACCCCACGACTAAACAGTTCCAACAGTGTGTCCAAGCTGTTTTCCCAACCAACCTCAATAATTCCTTTCAGTGCTTCCGATGCAAGAATGGGATCAGATGGATATGTGCAAAGGATACTTGTGCGATCAAGTGAAACTCCTATAGCAGTTGCCATATGAGATGCTATCAGGATATCTACTTCTGCAATTCGAGGGGAAACTTCAAGAGCCAGGGTGCAGGCTGTACATGCAAGGTTGGCAAGATAATCTTTATCGTTTTTGCTAAAATTGCGGATCTTTTGTGAAGCAAGATGAATAAGGTTTATAAGACTAACACCCGATTGAGCAAAAGAACCCCAAAGGGGAATTCCTAGATATGCGGTTCTGTCGGGATTATAGTTCTTATTAGAATTTCCAGCAAGTGATACCAATGCATCCATGGCATTAACATCAAATATGCAGGAAATACTTCAAAATCATGCGATCTGGCAGATACAGTATCTTTTGTTACTGGAGGGAGAAAATTGCCAATCTTCCCGTTTGTGCTGATGAGAATATTAAAGGATCTACTCCACGATATTTTCCGAATTTGTCAGCTCCAATGAACAAAATAGGTCGTATGTTCCCCAAGCAACGTGTGTGCTTCATCAATGCAACAAACTACAGAGATTTCCCTACCAGGGAATAAGTTTATTACGAAATTTTTGTTACTGCAATCTGACGAAAGTTCAACTTGCTCTAACGATTTAAAGATACTATTCCAAAAATCTCTACATTCATTTTATGTTCAGCCTTTGTTTGAATACTCCAAAACTCTTTCTCGTTCCAATTTTTGGCTTTAATTTGTTTGATTGCCAGAGATAAAAGAGTACCAAATTTATTATTATGAATTGCTTCAAAAATTTATTGAATGCAAGGTGTTGAGAGGTATCCGGTACTAGTCTCATTACATTTACAGATATACAGGACGAAGATTTTCTTGGTTCTCAGTCCCCCACGAGCCGTGATTTACTGGAACCGGAACTTTGAACGATTGTTAAATAATGGGCATACGGTTTGTCTGTTTGAGCCATTCACTATGAAATTGTTTTAGCCGTGAGTAGAATTATGTCCAGAGTTGTTCCTTGGTATTTGATTCGAGATGCTTTTTCAACTTGAACTAGTTCAATATTACTCACATCTGTAAAAAATTATGAACACTGATTAATTAGTTGTTTAATAATGCATCAAAAAGGTTTCTACTATTACTTTCTTCTTCTTCCTCATCACTTGGAGAGCCTTCATCATCTAAATTAACAAGTGAGTACATTTTAGAAATTAATGTGTAGGGATTAAAATTTTGAAACAACTATTTTATGCATACCATTTCCTTTGACTGTAACCTCTAATGCATTATTATCTTTCGTATTGCATAATCCAGTGACAAGTTCACTGTCCTCCAAGTTATCACTCCCACTGTGAATATTGACATTTTCTGATATATCAAACCGAGCTTTGATCACCCTTTTCAATCACGTCAGTTAATTTCATTTTTTCCAGAATAGTTTTTGAGAAAGTGTCACGTTCCTCATTATAATGAACTCATATTTCCATATCTATTTTTACAGTTAGATAGAATGTGAGTAAGGAGTATTCAACATTTCGTGATAATACTCGTGTATGGACCACAACAATTAATTACCTTGAAGTTTGATTCCAGCGATACCAGCTATCATACTTCCTATTCCTAATAGGATGATGAAATTAGTATAGATTTGTGAAATCAAAAGATCAAGCCAAGACACGTTATCTCGTGTTGAATAAATATATTATGACCTACTTGCCAGCAACGGGTTGTGCTACGATAACGTGAATGTGTTTTTTGGGCGGGTTTGACGATAAGAAGATGGAAAGAAAAGCACAAGATTATGTAAGTATTCGGTATTATTTGCAAATATGACAGAGAAGGCGAAAAAAAGAACGAATTCCTTCAATTGTATGAAAACGTACCGGTTAATAAACTTCTCAGATATATATCTTTAACGTTATCATTTCCGCATTTGAGGGATTCTTCCAATCAAGTATTTTATCAGGATTATTGGAAATATAAGCTAGCAATTCACCAAAGTCTTTTTCTGTAATTACATAATCCAAGAAAAGGGGTGGAGGTGGACATGTTTTTGTGAAAATAATAGTGTTCAAATAAAGAAAGATTTTTTTTGCACTTTTTTTTGCAGATTGATATATAAGAAATCGATTGTCACACAGACTGATCTGATGATTAGTTAATCAGTTACGGAGGAATCCCAATCAACAAGTCTTCCATGATATGTATTTTCGTCAGCGAAATTTTGGCAAGAGGAAATTAATTTTTTAAAAAAAACGATTTTTTTAAATTAACCCCGGCTGAAAATTTTTAGCTACTACTCGAAAATGGACTACTCCTGTCATTAATTACAGCGTTCAATGTTGTCAGTCCTAAACGAACTAAGAGCTTTAAGTGAACTGTACTAAAATATCGAACATGCGACTTTCGAAGGACTAAAAAGTTCCATTTCCATAGTGGAATGTCACTAACACCTGCACTCGAGATGGAACATTATAAATGATAGTGGAAAATACTTCCCTCAAAACGATCAAGATTTTTGTGAAATGCTTCAGCTGTTCGCAACTACAAGTTTACCGTGATCGTAGAAACTCCATCAAATGCTTCTCAGAGTGGTTGTTCCACAAAAGTGTGTCAGCTTTATGGTATTAGCAGTAATCTGAACTCGACATTGATGTTTTTCCTGTTTTTTCGTATGGTTCTCCAAAATGGAAATTCACATGTAGAATGAATATTATTACTCCCTATTTCAATTGTAATCGCAAAAAAAAGATAATAATCAGAATAATTAGTTCAGAGCGTAGCGAAGGCCGCAACAGCGCCATTATCACCAATATCGGTCGCAACAGCAAATATCAGTCGCAACAGCGCCATAATTACCAATACCGGTCGTAATAGTGCCATCACCAATATGCTTATCGTAGGATCTAGATCTGTAAAAATACCAGTACTGCTAATTCCCATTCGTGATTTATACAACCCCTTTGCGAATGAGTAATTAGTAATTGTGGAGTATTATTTATTTCAGCTAGTATCATAGTTATTTTGGAATTTTTTTTAATATTTTTTTATTTCAAATAAATTTCTTAAATATTTTTTTTATTTTTAAATTATAATTATGATCAAGATCAAGATTTATGGTGACCTGATGGCCGACACAGAGAAATTGGACTTATATAATAGCTAGTTATTTTGCAATTTTTTTTCAAAAGAAAAAATAGAAATAAAAGAAGGGAATTTTTTTTTATTTTTTAATATTTTATATCATATCAATTATAAAGTTCACGATCATAATTAAACTCTGTTTAATAATGCCAGCCTCTAACGTAGTCTAACGTAGGGGTAGATGATGATAACTATACGTAAGGGGTTTTTGACAACACTAACACTTTCCATATGGTAAAAATCCTCAGGTCATAAAATTCAAAGCATAACATGATTGCAACATATAATTTTAATACAGATAATAATACTCATATGACGGTAATTATTATAATCACCTAGCTGAGTTCATATGATTTAGAAAAAATACTCTTTTTAAAAATAATTGAAATAATTGAAAAAAATTTTTTACAAATTTTCTTTATAAAAAAAAATTTTAAATAAATTGTAAATCCGGAGCGAAAAACTAAAATTTGCGATTTCATTGGTTGCGATCACGTGGCGGACAGAGAAATTTACGTGATCATTTTTTTTTTCCATAGGTATGATCGGAATGTCGGGTATTTTAGTGCTATACAAACTTCGAAATAATATAAACTTACAAAGAAAATAGTATTCAAATTACAAGTTTTTAAACTTTTTTAAACGTTTATTTTTTCAAACAATTTTATTGCCGTTAATCATATTACTTTGTAAACCAGTTACAACTTACAACCCGATTAAAAAGAATTTAATTCATTTTCCTTTCTGTTAAGATAAGATACTAATGTGAAATTTTTTCGTGCACATATGAATATTTTGTGTTGGCGTCCTCCATATTTACGAAGGGTTTTGGCTTCAAATAAAAAGAATAGCTGATGTTCTAGCTCATTTTAAATTATCGAATATATCACCTGATATCTTTTAAATTATTTTTAAGATAAAAAAAATTATAAAACATCTTAATGAATATTTACCATAATCTTAAACTGTTTTAAATTTTTAAAAATAATCGGTATATTTATGGCAGTATCCTTTCATTGAATAAACTAGACGCTTCAAGAACTAATCGATTATTTACAAAATTATTTAATTGAAAATGAATCTCAATGGATGGAACAACATTTTGAACTTGTTCACAGACAAGCTTTCAATTTACTTCTCTAACAGTAATTCAACAATTCTGTACGAACTTGATGGCAAAATTTCCATATAAAATATTTAACTCACTTGATTTCACGTCAATTCCTAAAAAATCTTTAGTTCAACTTATTAAAAGTGATTTACAAATGAAAGTTTGGGAACATGTATTAAAATGGGGTATCCTACGGAGAATACTATACAACATTTCTTACCATTTATCAGATTTTTTTGTTTATCATCTATTGAATTCTCACAAAAAGTTCGCCCATATCAAAAATTATTTAAACGTCAATTTATGAAGATTTATTAAGTTCTTATTTGGAACCTAATAATGTATCAACCGAAAACATTTTACTTCCTAGAAATATTAAAGTTAACGATACAAAAATTGTTAATTTAAATATTGTTTCAATTATTTCAAGATGGATCGATAAAGTGGATGTTAATCATATAGTTTCTCATTTAAGAGAATTTTATTTACCATATAAACTTGAATTGTTACTAAGAGGAAGTCGAGATGGATTTACACCTAAAAAATTTCATACTTTATGTGATGATAAATTAAATACTGTCACCTTTATTCAAGATTTTTTTTCTTAGAATAGTTAACACGCAAATTTCGATCTCACAGTGTACACTTGTGAAAAATTTTATAAGTATTTTTTATGTTCTTTGCGGAAATAATAATAGTACGTGCAGGTCGTGCAGCCCTAGATATTATTGATCTGCGAGTTGTTGGTCGAACTTCTAGTATATTATGATAAAAAAAATGAAAAAAAGACAAACAATAAAAAATAAAATAAATATAAATATAAAATGAAAATAAAATAAAAAAATACGAAAACTATGATAACAGAGAAAATTCGATTATCTATGTTAAAGTAGCTTTTTAAAAGGAAACGTGAAATATTTTTTTTTTTTTCTAACATAGTTTTTTATGAAACCTGAAAACTCAAAGGAAGGTCAATGTAAATGTTACTTTTTTTTGTAACACAAACTAATACAATTACGCGTATTCCCTTAGTACTGTACTTTAGAGATTAAAACCACTGTTCTGAGCATACCCTATTTGTATTATATTTTTTTGTAAGTTTCAAGCATCAATAATTTTTTTATATTGAAAACTCATTTTTGTTACGTAAAAATAAAATAATTTGAAATGATTAATCACTTACCCTTCACTAGTAAAAATAGTGTTATATTATTTTTCATTGGATAACTTTTATATCTGATGAAAAAAAAATAATAATAAATTATTGTCTTTGCTACAATGATAGGATAATTTGCAGAAAGAAATTATCATTATTGTATAAAAGATAATATTTACTAATTGCACTTTTAATATATAATACATTCACCAATAAAAAAGTAAAAAAAAAATGTTACCAAGTCAAAAATGTCATTCGAAACCTCCTTTGGCTCCCTAAGGAAATTTGCATCTCCTTTAATAAAGCCTGCAGAATTATTTATACTGCGAAAATTTCAATGAAAAAATAATTGTGTAATTAATTCCTATATCTGTTCTGAGACAAATTCGGTCATCAGTAATAATAAGTGATGTATTGGTAATATATTTTCAGTAGCTTACCATAGTATATTTGCCCGTTAAATCATTAAATCAGTATTATCAGCATTACTATTAACAACACATCCATAATTTACAATGTCTTATTACATTTCCAATAGTGTATATCCGAATGTCAGTTATAAAATAATATAAATAACCTGAACTTGTTATAAATTATCAATAGTATTAATAGTATTCATAAAAATATAAGTCAATAAAAGTTTCAGTCAATAATATCATGCATATGACCGATCTGAAATTATATAAATAAACAAAAAATTTATTTTCAAAAAAAAAAAAAAAATTTCAAATATAATAAATATAATTATTGTATACTTTGAAAATGTCTTGTAAATCGTCTAAAGTTATTAGTTAAGTGTTCGGCAAATGAAGATTTGAAAGAAAATTAAGGGCAAATAATATAAATAATAATGGACCAATCCAATTGAATGCAATCACAAACACCACCTAAAGCAATAATATTTTTAATCTTAGCAGTAAATGATTCAGTTTATTAATAATTAGTATCTCTAGTATAACCATTAACTAGAAAAAAGAAAAAAGATAAATGCGTGATATGTATTAGTTATTTACTGATCTAGTAGTATATAAATGGGTTATCATCCGAAGGATGATGACCCATTTATATACTAAACTAGGTCAGTAAATAACTTTTTTATCATCCTGGACACGGGCATCTAGTTGATCAGTGATCACTGATCATAAACTATTTTAGACTTTTGTGTATTTGTGTATTTGTCAGCTTGACGAAACTTTTTTTTCTTCTTTCCTTTAGTTTTACACGATTTTCCTCAAAAATGACAAGCAAAACTACATCAAAAGTAAGCAGTAAGCATAACAGGGCTCCCTACGAAAGACCTACACAAGAGGAAATTAAAAAATACCAAAATGCAGCAACACCAGCTGCAACTCAACGTAATACAGAGATGTGGATAAAGAGACTAAAGGAATTTCAAAATGATATTGGATATGTAGAAAATATTGAAGATATTCAATCAAAATCACAACTTTGTAATATACTCATTGAATTTATTATAAAAATGAGACCTGTTAATAAACAATACTATTCTTCAGAATCCATTTATAATTGTGTGTCAGCATTAAATCGATATTTTCAAAATCACTCAGCTATTGCACCATTAGATTTATTCAGTGAACCAGTTTTCAAACCTCTGTTAAACGTTGTGCACTCCAAAATGCGTGAGAATGAACAACTTAACAGTTTGGATATCAAGAAAGGTGCAGATCCACTTACCGAAGATGAACAAAAGCAAATATTATGTCATTCAAGTATGCGTGGTGATAATCCAGAAGGACTGCTACGTAGGGGTTTTTTCTGGATAGCCAATCTTACAGCTGCCCGTGGTGGGAGTCATATTAATATTATGGCTTCTGATTTTCAAAGACGACCTGATGGAGGTTATAATTTTATAATAATACATGAAAAAAATAATCAAGGTAGACAAATCTCCATGTAGAATCTACTAACAGTAAACTGTTCTATAATAATTACTTATTTTTATTTTATGAATAAATAAGGTGGCCTAAATTCGCGTCGTAAAAAAGGCAAAACAAACCAGCCACGAATTTCTATCATACCACCTGATGAATTTGGAACAACTAATGGACCTTGCCATGATATATCAAAATATTTGCGTTTACGACCTGAAAATGCAGAACCCAACTTTTATTTACGGCCCATTAGTGATATTAAAAGTAATCTTCTTTACTGTATATTACTTTTTTTAGTTTATGTTATTTTATAATTAATTACTCATTTAATTCTAGAAATTAATGAAGACCTATGGTATTATCCCCTTCATCTTGGTCGGGATAAGCTAAATCAAATGCTTAAAACAATTGCTACTGAAACTGGAATTGATACTGTTAATAAAAAAATTTCAAATCATTCTACAAGAAAATCCGCTATTCAGAATTTAAATAATCAAGATGTTGATGCACAACAAATTATGGCATTTTCTGGACATCATTCTTTAGCAGGAGTCAATGCATACAGAATGCCTAATGAAAAGCAGATGATGGAAGTAACAAAAAAGGCTTTTCCAGCACAATCAAATCCTTCTATCGTTGGCAAAAGCAGTACATTGGTAAATATATAAAAAGACATTTTATTTGATAATAGTACAATATTTAATTTTTATTTTTATTATAGAATACAACAAGAAGCTCTGAGTTTACAAGAAATTCTCCTATTTCAATTGAAGTGGTTTCTAAAGGTACGTAAATAATTATTATCTTTTCTATAAATAATAATTATAAATTGACATTTTACTCATTTGATATAGAAGAGCACTGTGAATCGATCATTGGTTTGAAAAGCACTAGTACTAAAGAAATTGAGAGTACAAAAGTAACTAAACGTGATAAATTTAAAACACCTTTTAAAGGGAAATTCAGGTCGCCTCTTATAGATTTAAATAAGAAAGTACCAAGTGATGACTCTCAATCTTCTCAAAATATGACTCTTGATTTGGAGGGAATGAAAGTTCATATCACTAATTGTAATGTAACTATAAATATTAGTAAAAATTGAACGTGAATGTATTAATATGTATTATAATAACAGCAAACCAATAAAAATTAATAAATTGTAACTATTCAATTAAACTATAATTACTATAGCTTATTATACTGGTTAAATAGTTTATAAACGGCGAAAAAAATACTAGATGCCCATTAGTGGCCAGGTGATAAATAATATTCTTAATTTTCAAATTAATTATTTACCAAATATTATTCCTTTTAAAATTGAAATACCAGTGATTGTAAATCTCTGCATTTACCTATTATGAAAAAGAAAAATTATTAATAGTGTGCTAAATTTTTATTTAATCATAAAGAAGACATAGCCAATTCCTCCTTTAGAATTAGCAGACTTTATTAATAACAAAGTAGGATGTTATCTGCTTGAGTTGGTTATCAAGTGAACAAGAGAAATAAAAAAATAAAAAAAAAAAGAAAAAAAAAGGGAATAAAAAAAATAAAAATAAAAATAAAATAAAAAAGAAAAAGCAGGTAATTTCAAAGGAATTACCCACTTTGCTCACCCTTACCCAACCCAAACAAATAAATCCAGTACCCTCCTAAGTAAAATTTGTGAACTCCCCGACTCATTGAGTTATCCGTTCTAATTTTGACTTAGGAAGTTACCCACTTTGCAAATAAAAAAATACACACCTCTTTAAAGTCTCTTAATAAGCCATTTACACTTATCTAAAAATCAGTAATGCTTTATTCAGAGAATTTTCATCTGTTGTCCAGTATTTCAATACAAAATAATGCTGTGATTGATGAATAATTAAATATAATTCAATAATAAGAAATCAGATAACAAATATGAAGTATAAACATAAAAAAAATTTTTCACATTTTTAACACTTGATATGCACTCTTTTTCAAGAATTCCTCTAGGAAATTTCTTCATTTTACCGGTGATTGTAAATCTCTGCATTTACCTATTATAAGAAAGAAAAATTATTAATAGTGTGCTAAATTTTTATTTAATGGTAAAGAAGACATAGCCAATTCCTCCTTTAGAATTAGCAGACTTTACTAATAACAAAGTAGGATGTTATTTGCTCTGTCTCTTATACACATCTTAATCACCTAGCTGAGTTCATATGATTTAGCAAAATACTCTTTTTAAAAATAATCGAAATTTTTTTTTTTTACAAATTTTCTTTTAAATAAATACTAGTCTGGAGCGAAAAACTAAAATCTGCGATTTCATTGGGTGNCCCTTACCCAACCCAAACAAATAAATCCAGTACCCTCCTAAGTAAAATTTGTGAACTCCCCGACTCATTGAGTTATCCGTTCTAATTTTGACTTAAGAAGTTACCCACTTTGCAAATAAAAAAATACACACCTCTTTTAAAGTCTTCTAAGCCATTTTACACACATTTAGAAAACTGGCAATACTCCATTCAGAGAGCTTTCGTCTGTTGTCTAGTGTTTCAATACAAAATAGTGCTGTAACTGGTAAATAATTGCCCATAAATTTTGATCAGATTTAAGTCAGGGCTGTTGGATGACCACTCTAACACTACTGGAACATTTTCCTTAAGAAAGGCTTTTGCAAGACGGCTGGTATGCTTAGGATCGTTGTCTTGTTAGAAGTGCCAACAATCACCAAGCATCTGGAAGATCTCAGGAATATGTGTACGAAGAATTTTCACATAAAATTTGGCGTTCATAATTTGTTTAAAACAAAATAATTTTGTTTTTCCTTTCACGCAGAAACTACCCACGCCATAATCTTTTTACGATCTTTAGGCATATGCTGAACCGGTCTTTCTCCTTTATACCATCATTCAACGGTGTTTCTAAAGAGTTGAAGAGCAGTTTTATCAGTAAAAATAGTTTTATCCATCAGTTATTAATATGTTTTTTTGCCCACTCCACATGCTTTACCTTGTGTGTTTCAGTTAGCATAGGGTTGCTTTAGGCAGTCTTTTTATATAACCAATACTTGAAAGATGCCTTCCAACGGTTCTATACGATACTTCTACGCCTATATTTTCTAATTTTCTTGCCAAAATTCTTGTGGAAAGAGACGTATCATGCCCTACACATTGACCAAGTGCACGGGTAATCTTTTTGGGTCTGTCATTCCCCCAGCATGCTTTATAGTCCCATTTTCTTTTAATTTTTTTATATTATCGTAAATAGTGGACTTTGGGATGTTTGTTAACCTATGTAATTCTTTTACATTATGAATACCGTTATTCCATAAATGTAACAAGACTTCACGAGACGTTTTTCAAAGAAGACATTATGATGGGAATTTTCTTGCGGAAGGAAAGGTGTAGGTAAACACAAAGGTCATATTATTTATTATTTGTTATTATGGTACAAATTTGACTTATATGTATGGCGTTCTGAAAAAGGGGTGTATTTTTTTTTTTTAGAGAAAACTGATGTATATATACACGTAAAAAAATCGTGACTCGCGACTCGTGAGTAAAAAATGATTGTATGATGATGTGCGGAGCTTGTTAATCGCGCCTATCGATATAGTTTAATTTATATTAGCTGTTAGTGACTTAGTGTATTAATATGTAAATATATTAAGTGGCTTTGTGATTAAAATAGTATAATTTTATGTCCGACATGATTATTTTGGGAATACAGTGATGAAAAAAAGATGATGTCAAAATCATTGTACTACATCACTTGAAATAATAAAGATCTAAATTTTTTGATTTACGATTTTTTATATATATTTTGTTTTATTTTATTTAGAGTAGCGTCCCTTAGTTTGTAATTTGAATAATTTCATTGCATTAACACTTTAAATAAAGTATTATATTATTATACAGTTGATTATTCGTAAAAATTTATTGTCGTATTGCAATGTAGCGACTAGCGAGTAACGAGTAGTACCTTGAATTGAAAACGAGTCAAATTATAATATAAGGTTATTTCGATAGAATTTTTGTGATTGATTAAAAAAAATTATATTCATAAATAATAATATACAGTAAATCACGTCTAACTATGCAGTAGAGATCTTTGGTAGAAACTTTTATCCGAATCAACAAAATCAGTTGATATGTGGCGTAATTCTACATTAGAATATATTAGGAAAAATGCGCTTTCGTCATGATGATCAAAAAATCTAGAATTGAAAATTTAAAGAGTTATTCGAGTTTGATTCTTGTTTTACCCTATAAAAAATTTATTCCGTGTTTTTTTGTTCCATATTATTTCCACAAAAATGTACCATACTCACGGAATTTATAGCCTCAAAGAACGGAATTGTTTGAATTTTTAGTAAATATATCATATTCACGGAGTTTTACAGAAATTATGGATAAAATTTTTCAGTTACAGGTTAATATTTATTTTAATTTGAAATATTTACTAAAGTGCACTATTTTTTGTCACATTATTCTTCAAAATATTTGTAATGACGGAAAATTCTTCTCAGATGTTTAACCTTAATTTTCAATTTTTTATGGTAACAGGGAAATTTTTTACAGTTATTTCATAATGTACAGGACGCTTGAGTGACTTGACAAATTTTATGCGAACTTGCCGGCTAGTCGAGTTGTTAGTAGCCAATCAATTTACACTCTGTGATAATCACGTGATATTTGAAATCACGTGTTTGTTTTCAATTTGCTGATAATCCGACAAGCCGGCAAGTTCTAGCATTAACCAGTTTCAACCTCTGAACTAAAAATATTTGTTATCAAGTACTACGAACTTCACATATGTTGCACAATGTAATGCGTTTGACAACAAATTATTATTAATCAATAGATTAAGAGTATATTATTAAAAAAAAAATAAAATCTAAATAATTATGTAATTTTAATTTGTTACCAACTTATATATAGTATATCTTATGTATACGAAAAAAAAATAAAAATTGGATATAGAACTTTCATAAAAAAGTCTTGAACGTTTCGATCATTAATTGGAAATCCTTTGAAGTAGCTAATAAAATTCAAAAGTTCCATTCCTAAGTAAACGATATTAGTTAGGAATAAATTAAACATGTATTGTTTGCTTATTTTGTAATCAAATGTTTTTTTTTTTTTCAGAAATGGCGGGAGATGCTCTTTAAATTATTAGTGAATCAGAAATTTATTAAAAGTACTTACGAAAGAATACTAAAATGTTAAAATGTTACAGAATATTATCTTATATAAAAATTCTCTTTGGTTTACGAAGCTGACTTTAGGTTTGCTCAACTTTCGAGAATTGTTGAAAAAATAATGATTGACTCTCAATCAGAAACACACTGCAACTCACGGTTCAAATTTTCGGACTACTGATAAAATCACTTTATCTCAAATTTTATTTTCATATTGAATTCGCCATATCGCCCCCTTCATCAGAAATTTTTTTAACCAAATAGGAAAAAACGCTATGTTCATAATTTTACTGATTAGCGAATATTTTGATTTTCACTTGAGATATCCCAAAAGCGTTGGATAAGATTTGTTAAAATTTTCCATTTTATTGGTCTTTATTTATGAAAGGGTAATAAAAAAACAGATCAATGAGAACTATTAAAGTCAGAAAGTCAGAAAAAAAAATACCACCATCTTGCCTAATATAATCTCGTCCACGTGATATTATCAAAATTAAACGTCATCACCAACAAAATTTGCACTTTTCGATGACATTATGGCATTAAATCATTTAAATGTGGCATTTGAGTTTTCTTCTAATTTTTCCACTTGGCAAAAAATGCTAAATATACTTAGTTACTTACCTTATTTAGATTTACTCACCTTTAACATAAACCGTATTTATTTCTCATTCAGAAAGTTATCAAAAAAAGATTTATAATACGTAGAGTTACTTGAAGTCGCATAAGGGTAAATCTTTTTAACTTTTTCGATAAAAATGTTATTAGGGATAATATCAATGATTTATTAAAGCTTTTATTTGTAATCGATTTAATTACAGGAAACATCCAATTTTTTGTCATATGATAAAATCGCCATGAATTAAATTACATATGATATTCATCCTTGTAAATAATCAATAAGATTACTATTTAAATTGTCAGATAAACTTAAATCATTAAAACTTCTAACTTTAATATTATGTAACTTAAATTCCTTTACTTCATCTTCCAAATCATACAAATCTCCATTATACCTGCTCTTAATAGCTAAATACTTTACTCTTTTTTCATTCATAATAAATTCCTTTGTATAACGTAAAATATCATCCCTACCTATTTGCATTATTAATAATTTATTAATAAAAGTATCTTTTGAATTTTGTAAGAATATTCTAAATTCACTTCTGTTAATAGTAAGAACTAAACTTAAGTATTCTAATTTAGAAGGAAGAGCTTGACCTAAATTTTGTAATATGATTGAACTACCTTCAATATTATCATAACCATCTTTCACAATATTGATTGAAAGATAACTAAGATTTTGTCTAATAATATTTTCGAAACTTTGATAAGTAATTTGACTTTCATATCCATGAAAATCAAAAAATTTGAGATTTTTACAATATTTAATAATTAATTCTGAATATCTTTGATTTAATAATAATCCAAATAATCCAAGTTTACACCCAAAATTTTCTAAATAATTTCCAGATTTTTGTAATAATAATTCCATTGATTCAATTTCTGGTAACTCTTTTATAAATAAAGATTTTAATTTAAATGGTTTAATTAAATTATTAATTTGTTGAGAAAAATTCTCATTTAAAGAATAACAATAAATAATATGAACAGATTCTAAAACATTTAATTGTTCGAATATATTATTAATTAAATGCTTCAAATTAGCTCGATAAAATATAATTGTATTTAAGGTATTTGAAAAATTAAAATCTTTTGATAATAATAATGAGTCATTTGAACGTAAATTAATACATCCTGTTAATAAAAATTTTTTTGGATTTTGATGTGATTTAATTAATTGTAATATATTATCATTAATCCTATTACAACAATCATACCCATAATATTTTAAATTTCTAATATTATTAATGAAATTTGGATTTTTTAAAATTAATTTAATAATATTATCATAAATTGTGTCTTTACAAAGAGTGAAAATTTCAATTTCAAGAGTATGTAATTTTATTTCATTTTCGATAAATATTTTAAATAATGCTGTACATATATCATTCAATATTTTAAATCTAATTTCGAAGGGTGAAGTTTTATTGATATCTTTAAGCCACTTTTCAAAAGAATAAGCAAACTTATATATATTCAAATATTTTAAAAATATATAATAATTGAAGAATGTATTTGAAGGTAATGAATTATTAATAATTTCATATTCTTTTAATTGTGTTTTAATATCTTCATTTAAATATTGTAAGTAAATTTCTAAATGTTTATAGTTTCTGGTACGGATTGAAAATGGGTTTTCCCATAATAATGGAATCGCTAAACGACACCATAATCTGTTAACTAAAACGCATGAATATAAAGTTGAAAAATCATTATGAAAATATTTTGTAACTTCATAAGTTAATTCGGGCAAATCCCCTAAAAATATTTTTGAACATGACATATTGTAAACGAAAGAAGGGAAGTAGGGGGAGAGGGTATCAATATGTATTGTCTAAATATACTGATATTTGTCGCACAATTTTTGCCAATTTTGCGTAACCGCCGTAACGTCATAACGTAATTATGTCAATCACACTTGGTCAAAAAATTATAATTGGTCAAAGTTTAGAAACTTTGACACTGAACTAAAAGACTTGTATACATATTAAATTTTCCAATTTATGAAATTTATCATAATTAGTCATAAACTGTTATTTTATTGTCAATAAAAATGATCAACATTCATAATATCATATGAATCTAATGATCAAATCATTTCAAATGGTCAGCGTTCATTACATTAATCAATTATTCCACATTATAGAAATTATAGAATATGAAAAATCCATATTTAATCAAAAATCTTGAAAATCCAATTTTTTAACTCTTACTAGAGTAATAATTAACCACGCTGGAAAATTAATTTCCCTAAAAACTGGTTAGAATTTTTTCTACTCCTTTGGGGTTCTCTCATTACAACTTTTACTCCTGTTATTCTCATTTTGTAATATCTTATTAAATGTACTAATTATTATATAGCGCTGGTTAGTTTCAATAAGATAATATTTATGATGAAATTACATTGGCTACTTTGTTTGGATTGTTGGACCGATAAAAACAATAAAAATTCTTGATAATCTTAATACCAAATAAATAAATATAATATATTTATTTAGTAACTTTATCGTAATACAAAAGAATATTCCTATCTATTATTACTACTAAATAGTTAATTAAGTTCCTTTAGTATAAAATCATACAAGTTAATCACTAAGTCATAATAACTTTGCACTTTAATATCATACAACATAAATTCCTTCACTTCGTCTTTAAATGAAAACCATTCATTTCCAGTATCATTAATAGCCAAATACTTAGCCCTTCTCTTTTTCATTATATATGTTTTTATAAAAGGTAAAATAACTTGAACTTTAATGTTACTGATCAATAATTTCTTAATAAAAGTATCTTGAGATTTTTTTAGAAATACTTCAAAATCACATGCTTTAACATTGCATAAATACAAATCTAAATATTCTAATTTAGGAGGAATAATTTGTCCTAACTTTTGTAATAAAAATGAACTAAGCTCTTTATTATAATATGTTTTGATTGAAAGATAATTAAGATTTTGTTTAATATTTTCAATTAAATTGAGTGCTGAATAAATAATCTGATTAACATTTATATTCAAATCAAGAAATTTGATATTTTTACAATGTTTCATAATTAATTCTAATAATTGTTCCATTCTCTGAGAGTTCTGAGTTAATTCAATTAGCTCAGTAAAATCATACCAAAAATTTTCTAAATAACCACAAGACTTTTGTATTAATAATTTTAATGACTAGCTGATTATTTAAAAAAATCACGGGTATTCACAAATTTTTAAAAATTGATTATTTTTAGGGGGTGTTACGCTATGATCGCACTAAATTGAAAACGGGCGATAAAAAATTATTTTTAATTATTTCGTATTACTTATTTTATATTATAATTATATATAATTTAATCTAACTAGATTAATTCTTTATTTTGATAATATTATTATTATAAGGCGTGTATTAATGATTTGCATGTACACAAATGCCAAATTCAGCCTTCAAGTGAACAAATTTACTGCATCATTTATGTAATTATGACCTTTTTTATTGTGCTGATCACATTTTATTTATTTATTTATTTATTTTTTTTTTTTCAAAAAAAAAAGAATACTACAAAACCATGTCGTCTCAAGATAAAGCTGTTATTTGTGAATGTTGTGGCAACCCATATACAGTTCATGGTTATAAATGGTGTAAACCATGTCAAATAAATAAATTAAAACAAAATTTTACAAATTGGTCCAGTGGAAATGAAAAAATTGACGAATTAATTCAAGAATTTCAATTGAAAATTAATCGTCATGATGATATAATAGTTGAATGGATACCGTATAACCAGTTTAATGATATTAAAGAAATAGATAAAGATGATACTGCTACACTATATTCAGCGACATGGATGAATGGTCAATTGAAATATGAAAATTATAAAGTGGAAAAGAAAAGGGTACCTAATGAAAAAGTTGCTTTGAAATGTATGTATAATTCACAAAATATCACAAATGAATTTTTAAGTGAGGTACGTAATTCTTAATTTCTTTCTTGATAAATTCAATTATAATTCAATTTTTAAAGTGCCTATTACATTAATAATAACTTTTTTTTGTATCTTTAATAGGTTAAATCATTTTCAATTTATAGATTTGATTATGATATTCTTAAAATATATGGAATATCTCAAAATCCAGAAACAAGAGATTATATTATAGTGTTTCAAGAAAGATATTGTGAAACCTGTGGCAAAATATGCAAAGATTTGCGGCGTTGTTGGTGCAAGCCATGTAAAATAAATAATTTAAAACAAAATTTCACAAATTGGACCAGCGGAAATGAAATAATTGATGAATTTATTCAGGAAATGCAAATGAAAATTAAGAATTTTACGGATATAATAGTTGAATGGATACCATATAACCGGTTTAATGATATCAAAGAAATAAGTAAGGATGATACTGCTACACTATATTCAGCAATATGGATAGATGGTCCATTAAAATATTTAGATGTTAAAATTAATGAATGGAAATACGAACGGTTACCTAATAAAAGAGTTGCTTTAAGATGTGTTTATAATTCACAAAAATTTATAGATGAGGTATGGAATAATTTCTTAGTAATTCAAATACTTTCTATTATAATATTTTCATTTATATACTTTTAATAGGCTAAAGGATATTCAATTGATGATCACGAATATGATATTCCTCATATATATGGAATAACTCAAAATGCGAATACAAAAGATTATATTATTGTACTTGATGATAGATATTGTAAAAATTGTGGAAAAATAGGCGAAATATACACAAATGAAAAAATTCAATGGTGCAAACCATGTCAGATAAATAATTTAAACCAAAACTTGACCAGTGGAAATGAAAAAATTGATAATTTTATTCAGGAAATGCAATTAAAAATTGAAAAATATCATAGTAAAATAGTTGAATGGATACCATACAACCAGTTTAGTAACATTAAAATAATAACCAAAGATGATTTTACTACGCTATATTCAGCAATATGGATAGATGGCCCATTATATTTTGGTATGTGTAGTTGCATAAGGGTCATGCCTAATAAAAAAGTTGTTTTGAAATGTTTATCATATAACTCTCAAAATATCACTGATGAATTTTTAAGTGAGGTACTCTTAATTTCTTGATAATCCAATTATTTCTATATAATTCACATTATAACTTTTTCGTATATTTGTTTTTACAGGCTAGATTATGTTTTGATAATAATACAAATAATGATTTATTTAAATATGGAATATCCCAAAATCCAAATACAAATGATTATATTATTGTATTTGGAGATGATTATTGTGAAATTTGTGGTAAAGTATATACTGATACAACTCGTAAATATTGCGAATCATGTTTAATAAATGATTTAAAAAAAAAATTTGCAAATTGGACAAGTGGAAATGATAAAATTGATGAATTTATTCAAGAAATGCAAATGAAAATGAATGGTTATGATGATATACTAGTTGAATGGATACCATATAATCAGTTTGATAATATTAAAGAAGTAGGAAAAGGTGGTTTTGCTATGGTATATTCAGCAATATGGAAGGATGGTCCATTTATATATCATTATGGTAAAAGTGTTAATGAAAATTATAAAAGAAGTCCTAATAGGGTAGTTGCTTTAAAAAATTTATATAATTCACAAAATATTTCTAATGAATTTTTAAATGAGGTATGAATTACTTATAATTTATTAAAAATTATTATCATGTTAAAAAATTTAATTAACTTTATATTTTTTTTATTAGATTAAAAAATATTCCATCAAGTTTAATGATAATATTCTTAAAATATATGGAATATCTCAAAATCCAGATACAAAAGACTATATTATGGTTTTTGAATATGCAAATGGTGGAAATTTTATTAATTATATTAATAATTATGCTGTAAATTGGTCTTGGCATGAAAGATTAGAAGCATTAGAAAATGTAATTAATGGTCTTAAAATAATTCATGAAAATGATATGGTTCATCGTGATTTTCATACAGGAAACATCTTATCATTTATTAATGTACAAGGTGGTGATGAAAATCTTGATAGTTCATTTTATATATCAGATATGGGGTTATGTGGAGATGTTAGTAATGTAGATGAAACAAAACTTTATGGGGTTATGCCTTTTATGTCACCTGAAGTATTGAGAGGAAATCCATATACTAAAGCGGCAGATATATATAGTTTTGGTATGATTATGTATTTCGTAGCAACTGGTATGCAACCTTTCTTTAACTGTGCTCATGATGAATTTTTAGTACTAAATATATGTGATGGAATTAGACCTGAAATAAATGAACAAAAAGCACCAAAATGTTATATTGAATTAATGAAAAGGTGTTGGGATTCAGATCCAAATAACAGACCAAGTGCTATTAAAATAGAAGAATTAATTAATTCTTTTATGTATCCTGAAAATAAAGAAATTATAGTGCAATTTAAAGAAGCGGAAGAATATAGGAAAGCAAATTTTTTATCTATTAAAAATAATCAATTAACTACTCATTCACAAGCTTATTATACTTCTCGATTACTCAATCAATTTACAAGAGTTCTTACTGAATGTTTAGATTGTTTAGACTGTTCAATTGATGATTAAACTAAAAAGAAGATTTATATTTTATTCTGTAAATTAAATTAAACATTATATTATAAGATAAAACATATATAGTTAGACATTTATGCCAAGTTGCCAATATTATTATATAGAATTATAGTATTTATTTTTTATATTTAAAAATTAATTTTAAATGTAAATGAATCTATTTTACTGACAAATCGTTAAAATTCCATTTTATTATGGAAATACTAATACGGAATTTTTAATTTAATATGATATTTAATGTGTACTGTTAGGATTATTTGACTTGTCAGGATATGATAATAAATGAGGAATTGGCAATTATTAAAGTTTTTATTCTTTCACAAAAGGAAAATATTAACATTTATTTTTTTTCAAGTTGATTTTGCTATCAATTCTTTTTATCATTTCTTCTGAAGCTATGAATGAGTTTTATTTCAATACTTGAAAATTTTCTTTTAAATTATTATTCAATTTTCTTTTTATATTACTTTCTTTTTATATTAGTCAATTTTTTATTAAACTCTTATTATTATTTTATTTGATCATACATTCATAATCTCAGTGATCTCACATAAGTAAAACAAGTTATATAATAATTTACATACATTTTCAAGGGTTAAAATTTAAAAAATCGTTGATAATCCAAAATATTATGACCATAATATTTCTACATTTGATAATCCATCAAATTTTAAACGTTAAATTATAATTGCGTGCTTTTTGGAATGGAAGGAATAGGAAGGTACTGATTGAACGGGAAGAATCTTATACTGCGTTATTTTAGTGACGTAATTATTTATTTATTTATTTATTTATTAATGAAATATTTATTTATCTAGCTAAATAAGAACTTGGATTAGGACACTTATCTCAAAATGGATAAGTTCACAACAAATAGATGTTATACTGCGGAAATTTGGTAAATAACAAAATTATTGTTTATTGAATTAACTAATTTATTATTAATTACTAATGAATTGTTTTACTAAATAAAACTTGGACAGATATTTAGCTCGAAATGAATGGTTGTAATGGATTAAGCATTATGATAGTTCAGACATATAGACTATTATTGCTAACTAATAGCGATTTTATCCGAATTTTACTCAGTTTTAGGTGGATTTTACCAATTTTATTTAAACAGTCCAACTTTTCCCAGATCTTAATAGCCCTGTTCATTCGCATTTTTCGGAGTTAATTTTTGATTGGGCTGATCAGTTTGTACAACGTAACTATTTTCTGAATTTTTAGCCCAATTTTTTTGGTTGTTTTTTGGTCGAACGCCAAAAATAACCAACCAAAATTAGATAATTTCTGTTAACGTGACATTTAAGAAAAAATATATATCAATAGAAGGAGTTCGAACTAAATTTCAATCTAAAGCAGTTCAATTTGCGATCGAAAATAAAAAAATTTTATTGGATAATTTTTATACAACAAAATCCGACCGAAAAATGCAACCGACCGGAAATGAACAGGGCTAATAAGTCTGACGGATTTTACCGATTTTACCAGGCTTTTTTTAAAAACAACTTTGTAATTTTTTTAGATTGCTGATTAATAAATTATACATTATTAAACAGTTAACAAAACTATAAACCTTTGTTACTATAAACACAATAATCATAAAAAAAACCTAATAACTTATAAAAATATAAAAAATTTTAGACAGTCTGGCAGTGACGAAGTCACCGCACATAAACTTAATCTAGTTTATTATTTAACCTCAATCGATAATTACTGGAATCGAATTTTAAAAATTTTCATATATTAAAAATCGAAACACGTGAATGATAGTTAAATTACTGCGTCATCAATTAAGATTTTATGTGTGTTTCGCCAAAAGTCAATCATGAACTAAATTAAGGATAAATTATGGAATTTTTTTTTTTGAATTGATATTTTAAATGAACTATATTGGAAATTTAAAATTTTACCTTTGGTAAAACCACAATTGAGTTTAAATTATAACGTATACTGCATAATTAACTGCATAAACCGGAAAAAAAGGCTCGAAAAATCACGTGTCTTGTTTCATCACTTGTTTACTCCCTCCGTTTTTCGATTTTTCATAAGTATCTGATGTCATGCCAGCAGTATAATAATATTTTTAGGTTATTTATGACCATTACAATAACATTTTCATTATTGAAATGTTTTTTTTTTCCTTAGAAAAGAACCTGTCTATGATAACATTCCCAAAAATTTGCTGCAGAAAATTTCAGGTCTAAAATTACATTTACTTTACTCGTTGGTTAAATTTATCGCCGAACAAGCTTGACGTCATGTCACTACATCCGATCCATTTTACTATTAACTAACATAAGATGAATCAGATGAATCCTGCTATTTCTAATACCTATATTTAGTTCTTTAAATTTAAAAGTATATAGTCTTTAAATAATATATTATATCTTTTCAAATATCAACTATCGAATATTTAATATTAAGTGTTTATATAACTTTTGTCATGGATTATATATAAATATCAGAATTCGGATTCGTGATATTTTAATCTGTGTAGATAATTATAATACCGTATTATTAATATGAAACGGTTTATTTTCCTATTTGCATGATCTTTTGTATTACTATATTGACAAACAACCGGATCAATATATAAAACTTTCAAATAAAAATGTTAAAGTATATATTATTGAATAACCTATAATCAAATTTTATAAAATTTCTTTTATCATAAAATAAAAAATAAAATAAAATAAATAAAGTGAATTATCTGCGCATGAGTTCCTGTCTGCAATCATGATTTGTTAGCTTGTTTTATATAAATATTTAAGTACATACAAGAAAGTTTGAAAGTAAACGTCTGATATAGATGAGATATTATGGTTACCAATGTTATTAGGTCTTTAGGATAATAATCCATTAATTCGTGGTACTTTTTTACGCACTAAAAAAAATGGAAGTAGAAAGAACGTTAATAGAATCTGACAAAAATATTCTATCCATATGATGTTCATTTAATCATAATTTCTGTCACTTAGCTAATTAAAAAAATGATAACTCTCATATCACACGAACCAACTCATACTCTGTAAATATGACTCATATTGACCTATACAATATTATTATTATTATTATGAGCCAGTTAAGGCCAAATTTAGCAAATATCGGCTATTCATAATATGATATTACGTAATAATTGTGTCTGATCTTCTCACACTCAGCCTCAAACGCGTAGAACACGACGTGTTAATGGTATCAATTTTCAGAAAAAAAAAGTATATATATCCTATATTTTTTCCATTTGTCTCAATTTTTATTCGTACATTTAACATATTAACATACTTTTTCGAACAATATATATCTGTTGTAAAATCATTAGATGCCAAAGGTTACAAACTTTCGCAAAGGTCTTCTAAGCCATTATATACAATAGAGAGCCACAGCAATGAAGGACCCGGAAGATAAAGTGCCCTTTATATTTCTTCCTTGCCTGGTTAAGGTGCGATTTCTTGTGTTTGTTTTTTTCTTTTCCTTTATATATGGTTTAACGTTCAAACTTATGAACAGGTTGATAACAAAAGATAATCACACACGTATTTATCTCACAACCAAGATACAACCAAACATCGAATACTATTCGTAGGTCACTCGTCATCAGTTGAAGAGATAGGATATACGCACATTTGTAAAGTCCGTATTATATAGTAATTTTATTATTTTCTATAAAAGTAAAAATTAAAATTCAGTTTTTCATCCCACCAATAAAGAAATGAAACCTTCACCTGTTGCAAATTTCAAGTGGCGAATGGTATCGGAATTTTTAAAAAGGTGAGTAAAGATTATTCTATCACCCACTGGCCATAATCCTTGACTGCACACCGCGAAAGCAACGTGCGAAGGTTTATGAGGGCTGACCGGACGACTTTAAAGGGTTGCAAATAGATGACTGGGGCCCATCATACGAGAACCCACCCCAAGGTTATATCTTTGAAAGTGGAGCCTTGCTTAAGGTACCTGAATATAAGTCATCAGGTTCAAATTCACCGTCTTAAAGATATAGTAGTTGGTCTGTCAAGTGCTCTGGAGTCACTCTTGCAAAGGATCTGATGGTCATAATAGAGAATATAGATGGTGGTAAAGGATACCATGATATCTATAGTCACTTCTGAAGTGTATGCTTATCCCTAAGGTAATTGGGTTATGGTGTATGGCTACTTGTCAAAATGGTCACTGTTTAAAATACCATTTTGGTGTCCAATATTATGACCCGTCATAATGGAAGACATAGATAGTAGTGAAGGATACTATATATATAGTCACTCCCGAAATGTATGCTTATCCCTAAGGTAGTTGGGTTATGGTGTACAACCACTTGTCAAAATGGTCAATGTTTACAATGCCATTTTGGTATTCACTATTATGGCTCGAAGTGAATGAGCTAGAACTAACATAAGCTTTCAATGTTAATTTATAGGGACCTGTGAAAATGGCACAAGCGGAAAGAAATGTACCATAAAAGGAATATAAAAATTCTACAAAAATGTAAAACTGAAAAGATTCGAAGCAATAAGAACCGACTTAATTTCTTGAAGTGGAATTTTCTTTGGTATGTTCAGTATTGGTGTTTTTTACCTTTATTTTGAATCTTCACTTTTTATGAGACATATTTTATTAAGAACACAAAATTTGCTTGTGTAGGTAAAAAACTAAAAATTATTACATTTAATCACAAATACTTTAGGTAATTCAATCTGAAATGAATTTTTATTTGATCGTTCATAATCTTTAACGTGATAAGTTTGAAAATCTCATTAAAAAAATTAACATATGCTTGCTATAATAATTTAATTTAAAATATTTATTATAGAGTGTATATTATATATATTTATGTTGGTTTTGCTAGTATTAGCATGTTAAATTTTGCCATTGTTTGTTGCGAAAAGTAATACATGTATGTATCAGTTCAAGCATAAATAGTTCCTATATTGTGCAATTAAATTAGAGACGATTGAGAGTGCAAAAATCGATTAAAATTATCTAAATTTCGGACTGTATTATTGTTTTAATATTAAATGTGACTTTCACACAACTAGTAAAAAAGTTGCAGCCAAAAAAAAATTGGATTTTTTTTAAAATATTGATCGATTAATTATATAATCTGATTAAGGCCCAATTTTAATCAGTTAAATTTTCTTAGCCGGCTTCAACCTCTAAATTGAATAAATTTAGAATCCAAATTCTATTTTGGAAATTTGTGAAATATATATATACAAATTTCTTAAATATTTATAAAACAATATATTTAATTAAAGCGATTATGATCATAAAGTTTCATATTATTAAGACATACTTTCTTTCTAATAACATAAATCAAAAATTACATGTGAATTTTTTGTTCAATTCTTACGTTTAATAAGTTGAGTTTCAAAATCCTTTAAAAATCAATTCATCTATCTATTTACGATTTGAAATACTTCATAATTTTCTAAAGAAAAATGTTCAATCTCAATTATCTTTTTTTTCATAAAAATTCTTTTGATAACACGTTAAATTGTAATCCGTATATTCATTGGAAGATGCTAGAAAAATATCAGAACCAAACCTTGGCCCACATCTAGGGTAAATGCTACAGCATAATTGAAATTTTTCACGTTACTGATAATAATATTCCCATTCTTAAAGGAAAAATAAAGTTATCTTTAGTTTTGCCCAGGAACTAGAAGATTCTAATGGATTATACCCACCAATAATTTCTTCTGTCCCTTTTATTTTAATAAAAGTAACTGTATTATATTTACCATCACATGACTCATGAAATTTTTAGGAGTAAGCCCATCTTTAATTCCTCGTAATAGCAATTTAAAGTAGTATGTTAAATATAATCCTCTAAAACGTATAAATTTACTATTAAGATCCACTTTATTAATCCATCTTGAAATTGTTGAAATAATATTTAAATTAAGAAGCAAAATATCTCGTTATCAGGGTTCAAATATGAGTTCACTAAATCTTCATAAAGTTGTTGATCTAAAAGTTTTTGATATGGTCGAACTTTCTGTGTTAATTCTTTAGATGATAAACTAAAAAATCTAATTAAAGTCAAACAATTTTGTAAAGTATTTTTTCATTGTTTTGAAATCATTATCGGATCAAGTTTTAGGATATGAAATGAGAATTGAATTTTGTGCAAGTCCCCATTTTAATACATATTCCCATACTTCAACTTCTTTCATTTGTAAATCATCTCTCTTAATAAGTGAAATTGAAGATTTTCAGAAGTGAAGCGAAATCAAAAGATTTGAATATCTTTTCGCATTAAATTTGTACAAAATTCTTAAAGTTTTAATAAATTATTAGATTTCGCACTAATTTGTTAAATAAATTTAAATGTTTTTCTATCCACTCTGATTTATTAATTAAATATAGTTTTTGTAAATAATCAATTCTTGGAAAAGAAATATATCTGCAGCTTCTAATACCTTAAGAAATCTGAAATATCTTATAATTTTTAGTTGCTAATTAAATTCTTGTAATGATATAGGTATATTTATGGTAGTATTCTTCATTGAATGGGATAATCTTATATTGTATATTAAATTTTTTTAAATAACTTAGTCTAAAACAATTTGAAAGATTTCTGGTGATATATTTGGTATGTTAATATGATTTAAATCATTATCATTTGGAGGCAAAAATTCTACGTAAATATGAAGAACGATACATAAAATGTTTATATGAGCTCAAAATATTTTTACGTAAGGGTCTGCGCCAACCTCAATTGTAATATCGATAGTATTCATCATCTTTTAATAATTTGATGTAATTTTGACATCAATTTATTTTTAAATTTTTTATTATTATTTTTTTTTTTTAAAAAAAAATGTCTATTCAATTTTTTTTAAAATTATGTACAATAGATATATTACATTAACCTGCAGCTTGTTTTACCGCATACTCTCTTTATTTATATAGAAAACATGATAATATGTAATGCTATTCCATAATAATTTGAAATACTCTGGTGAATAATTTGATTAAAAAAAAATTTATGTAGGCATCAATTTAAGTTTACTGGTTATTTTGTTCTATTATTGAAATTTTCATAATAACAGAATATGAAAAATGTATATTTGAGAAATTGGAAGCAATCGGTAGGATTCTTCGTATTCTCATGTCTCTAGTTCAATAGATAAAGAATAATCATTAAAAACCTTAGAACAATAAAATGCGAATAATTATTCATCTATGTAAGCTAGAGACATGAAATATCACATTCTATGAGCTTTAGATTGTCTTTTAATGATATCTTTGCGATGAATCAATGCAGTAAAATATTCAAAAATAATGTCAGTGATTTTTGATATCATTGTATAATTCCAGCCAAAATCAAAATTCCCATCCCATTTAATATGGGCGGGCAAGTATAACCAGAATTACGTCAACTGGCCTCCTTCGGTACTCTGTAATATTCATACTAGCTTAACACTTACAATTATTAATGAATAAAACTACACTAAAATTGACTACTGTTCAATTACTCTTCCTTCATCCTTTGAATACTGGTGAACATTTGGTACTGTTTCGTCCAAAGTACAACTCGTCAATTTGCCAAATTGTCCACAGTACAATTTATTCTTTGGTCAATTTGTTGGTCGTAGCAAGTTTCACTAAATTTTATCTTAGAATATTATTAAGAAAACCCGCGATTAGCGCACAGTCACGTACAATTTAAATAATTATTGTTATTATAACGAAAATTTAATAAAAATATATGTTTATATATTAACTATAGCAATATAAATACTATATATAATATATTGTGCTTTTAACAAAAAAAAAAGTAATGCTTTATAAATAATTCTTGATATCATCTAATGAAAAATACCTTTCTTCTAGTTAATTTCATTGTTATGAAATAAAGAAGATAAATTTATATTTAATAATTTTTTTAATATTATTAATAGCATTATTAATTTTACAAATATAGACAAACAAAACGCGAAGATCATGACATTTTTTAAAAAAATGAATACAGCCATAACTTGATATAACGATTCGGGATAAACTGATTTTGGCCCATAACGAACTTTTTTCTTCCATCTATAATTAATTTTATCACTATATACCAACTTTATTATAAATTACATATATCAAAGTTAGTCATGATACCATCCTAATTCCAGCCGGAATTAACTTAGTCTCGGCCGGCACTATTCAACGCAGCAGATCACCTGATATCCCGGAGTCGTGCATCTATTTACAAGTTTCTGTATGATAACATTGTATTAAGCTATTGATATTATAAACATATTTAAGGTGATAAATATTGATATATCTTCTGTACTTTTTAATATACTATATAAACTGGTATAATAATAATATTTGATTTATCGAATATTCGACATAATGACCCAAAATAGCTTGTTCGCTAAGTCTTTTAAAATGATGGTAAAAATAATTATGAGTCATATGATCCATAGATTTTACTATCAATACAACGAATCTTGATAGCCGGATTCATTTTGGCGGTTTCTTAGAATTAGGGTTAGGACTAGAGTTAGGCTAGGGTAAGGGATTAGGATTAGGATTAGGGCAAGGGATTAGGGCTAGTGGACTTAGATATAAAATCCTATTAATTGTAACTTGCAAAATGAATCGAAATGAATCTGGCTACCATTTTTTTAGATGTGACGTAGAGTGATTCTATCAATACTTGCATAAATCTATTATTTGTCGTAATTACAAGCTATCACACCATATCAATAACTTTATATTATTACCATCATCCACACTATTTGAATGCTAGTAGAAACTTCATAAGATGGTGCATGAATCTAGAATATCATTTTTAAATATTCTAATAATATTAATATCAATATGTGTCATATTTATTAGTCTTTTGTATTTTTTAGGTAAAAAAAATTGTCTCTATATGAGTAAAAAATCATAATTTGCTATTATTTCTCAATAAAGATGATGCAATGTTAATTCAGTATTATTAAAAATGATGTAAAAGCATATTTTGTTTTTTATTTAAAGACCTGCTTGTTTACCATTTTTAACTTTTTGGACTTTGGCTAAAATAATCATGGAGGAGGATACATCTAAATACCTTGGCCAAGATAGTAAGTTTTGTGACTTGAGGACTTATAATCTTCTCCTTTCCTTTATTTAATTTGAATTCTTACCTTCATTTTAAATACAGCCCTTATCTCTTATTTAAGAGAGAAAAATTATAGATCATCATATCATGAATTCATGGATCTACACCTTGATGTCATCATTGCTTCTTCTTCATCATTTTCAAACTGGAAAGGTTTGGATGAATTCTGGTCATTTGAATTTTTAAAAAAAGCTGAGAAACTGAGGATGGATTTAAAAGAAAAGGTACATAGGACCTATAAAAATTTTATCCATTATTTCTGTAAAATGAGCCTTTTATTATGAGTCCATTCACAGAAAATGTAAATGATTTAATAAATTCTGTGATATAAGGTTATTAATTCTGGAAGTATGAGACTTTAAAAAGATGGAATGTAAAAAATGGATAACTTTTTTAGGGAGATAACTCCTATGAGGGTGCATCTGACTGGGAGAATAACTTTTTTGTTGTGCTTTGTGTGTGACCACTCCACAGTCCTGGCCTAAGTTTATCATTAGTAAATGGACTGTTAGTTAGACCAGCTATATACCCTCATTTATCTTAATAAAAAATCCAGACCTTTGTCTTAAATAAAAAATTCACACTGCTAATGAATATCTTATTTGCTTTCAATAGACAAAATTGGAGCATTCAGAAATATGGTTAGTGTTATACTGGAAAAAATTTATTAAAGAACATGAGGAGGTGTATATATATATTTGTATTGATTATGAATAATGTATTATAAACTCACTAACTCAAATCTATTAATCAACTTACAGTTAATTAGTTCACAAAATATAGATTATAAAGAGATAACTAAAAAGAAGCAGATGACTAAAAATAATCTAGAAGATAAAAGGTTATATAATAAATTATGCCAATTGCTATGCAGGAACTAGCTATTGCAAGCCTTGCTATAATCCCGAGGAAACTCCTGGTAGATTAGATAGTGTTGTAAGAGAATTGACAATAAAAAAAGTGAATAGAGCCAGTGGCACAACGGAAGCTTATAATGAAAATTTGATTAACCTCTATAGTGGTGGTGGTATGGATGAGGTCATGAAACGTCTTGAAGAAAAATTTTCTCCTTGCTGTAAAACAAGGAGAAACAAACAATTAATTAGTATTTACTTCAACTCCTAATATTATGAACTTGTTTCAACTTTATTTATCGTTTTTTAATATATTTACCATATGAATTTAAATTATTATTAAGAGAAAGCCGCGATGGATTTACTCCAAAAAAATTTCATGAGTTATGTGATGATGTATGAAATTTTCTGGAACTTCATGTTGGAAAAAAACTAATGATAGTTTAATTTTTTCTTTTACAAATAAAAGTATTAAAGATACAATTAGTAATGTAATAAATGTAAATTGTGCAATTTATTATAGCGCTACTAGTGGTCCATCTTTTGGCGGTGATATTATTATTTATAATTCTACGAGTCTAACAGATTATAATATAATTCGCTGTAAAAAGAAATATTATGAAAAAAATATGAGATTCCGAAGATTATTTTTTTATAGAGGATTATGAAGTATTTCAAATCGTAGAGCGCAAGTTTTATTGAGTAAAAAATAACTTCTTTCCTATCATCATAAGAACTAAAAATCATTATAAACTATGTGGATTTTAATTGGAAGGAATGTATTCGTATTTTGCTCGCTAAATTTAATAAGGTCAATGATTATCTCGTGATTTAGTTACCAATTTCCTACATTGTAATTATTTCGACCAACAATTAACTTTATTTAGCGATCTCAATGTTTTTCCAGGCGGATTGGAATTGACCAAAAGAACAAGATAACTGACTTAATTAAAAATTCATTAGACTTTCTTAGAATAAACTAATATTAAATGTCTTTCACAAACGTTAAGTAAATTTAAAATCACGAATTTTAATCTTTAGCAAAATTACTCAAACTATTCAAATTATTCGAGTATTAGAACCTTCAAATTATATATCTGAATTTTGTATATGGTAACAAGAAATAGATTTATCAAAGGGGGCTATATTAGAAGGCTTCATCGTTATAGAACCTTTTTTTGGTAATAAATATCAGTTGTTAAAGTTAATCTTGAATGACCGTTATTCTTAGGGCTTTTGCACGTGATTGTATTTTCATGTAGATCGATTACACTTCAATAAAGCGCTTAAAACCAATATATCATGATATTTTTGCTGTTTATTTCCGTTTTCCTCTTTTAATCTTTCAATTTTCATCTGCTTTAACGAAAATTGGGTCAAAGTACGTGATATCCAGATATTGCCACGATGTTGCTCTGCTCATCCTATCATAAATACTGCTGTGCCAGACCTTCATCAATGAATTTAGTTTCATTATCAGACAAAAAGTTTATAGTAGTTAACATCTTTTTTTATCAAAAAAGTTCTTTTGTAAAAGTTTTTCTTTTATTTGAAAATAAAATGTTAATAGAAATTTTTTTCTTTTAAAAGTTTATTTATAAGGTCACGGTGCGAAAAGTCTGGATACCTATTTATAATTATTATTGTGTCATTTTTAGACTAGTTAATTATATTATTTTATCATAACCTTTTTATTTCGTCATTTTAAAACTTCTACTAAGTTAAAATGAGATAAAAATTTTTTTTTTTAGGAATAATCATACAGTATTTTCAATTAATTTTTTATTATTTTTTAAAATGAGAATTATATATCACAATTATTTTTATTAGCAACTGTATTATTAAATAAAAAAAAAGCTTTGAATTTTTTAATGAAATCCAACAACATTGATTTACAATAGAGAAAAAAATTCAAAATGGAAGGTGATTTCCATTTTCATTTTGAATTTTTTCAAAAAAACTACATTACGAAAAGAGAAAATTTAGACCAGAATGGCAAGTAATTTCCATTTCTAATGAAAAAAAAATTATCCACCTCTATTAATAATATATAAAATTATCTATCCAAATTAGGAATTATGGTTAGATTTGATTTCAAAAATACTAGAATACGCCCAATTTTTCAATTCAAGGTAAGATTGTCAAAAATTTAATGCGTTATATGATAACAAGCCGCAGATTGTGCAGATTGGCGTAACGAATTAACGAGTTTAAAGTTGTACTGTACAATCTGTACATCAATAAATATGAAACAATTATGGGAAAATGCGATGAATATTACTCACAAGTTTATAAATATTGTCTTCCTCAAACTTGGGACTTTATTCTTTAACAAATGTCTGCCCAATTTTTTTCAAAATTAAGTCAAAATTACGTTGAGTTATTAAAGGATGATGAATATTATGATATTACAATTGAAGTTGGTGAAGATCCTAACGTAAAAATATTTCGTGCTCATAAGAATATTTTGTGTTACCGTTCTCCATATTTACGACGAATTTTAGCTTCCAATAACAGGAACAATAATACTAATAATTTAGTTCATATCAGATTACCAAATATGTCATCGGAAATATTTCAAATAATTTTAGAGTAAGTTATAAATTAAGTCAATACAAACTAAACGGATTTCTAATATATTATATTTTTGTAATTCAGGTATATTTATGGTGGAATTCTTTCGTTGAATATGCGTGATGCTTCAGACTTTCTTAATGTTTTGGCCGCTGCAGATAACCTCAATCTTCAAGAACTAGTTGATTATTTACAAAAATATTTGATTAGAAATAAACCCGAATTGATAGAACAAAATTTTGGGTTCACTCAACAAATTAGTTCACAATCTAATAATTTATTAGAACTTCAAGAATTTTGTACAAATTTAATGGCTCAATCACCAGAAAAAATATTCAATTCTTTTGATTTCACTTCACTAACTGAAACATCTTTAATTTCACTTATTAAAAGAGATGATTTACAAATGAACGAGATTGAAGTATGGGAACATGTATTAAAATGGGGTCTTGCACAAAATCCAAATCTTATTCCAGATCCTAGTATTTGGTCAGATGATGATTTCAAAATGATGAAAGATATCTTGCAACATTGTTTGCCTTCAATTAGATTTTTTAGTTTATCTTCTATAGAATTCTCGCAAAAAGTTCGTCCATATCGAAAACTCTTAGATAAACAACTATATGAAGAATTATTGAATTCTTATTTGGAACCTGGTAGTGTGTCAAGATACAACGTTTTACGTCCAAGAAAAATTAAGAATAATGAAATTAAAATTGATGATTCCCAAATTATTGATTCAAAAATTGTTGATGCTAATATTATTTCAACTGTTTCAAAATGGGTTAATAAAGTGGTTATTAATGATAATAATTATGAGGAATTATATTTACCATATAAATTTGAATTATTATTAAGAGGAAGTCGAGATGAATTTACTCCTAAAAAATTTCATGAATTATGTGATGGCAAAGCTAATACAGTTACATTTATTAAAGTAAAAGAAAATGAAGAAATTCTTGGTGGATATAATCCTTTGAAATGGGAAACTACTGGTAGATGGGGTAAAACTAATGATAGTTTTATTTTTTCTTTTAAAAATAAGAATATTAATGATGCAATTTTAAGTAATGTAAGATATGCAAGTTATGCGTTAGATTATAGCACTTCATGCGGTCCAAAATTTGGAAGCGATCTCAACATATTTACTATAAGCAATAACCCATCTGCAGCTTTTGATACAACTTATTGTAATAAAGTGCGTTACGAAAGAAGTATAAGAGATTCTATTGCTAATTTTTCAATAGAAGATTATGAAGTATTTCAAATCATAAGAAGATAAATGTAATCAGATAAATAATAGATACATTTATTAAACCAAATCTGAGTTTCCTTTAACAATCATTACTCGCATTTGTTTTTATTTATTAAAGGCGAAAACAAATTTCATTCATTCATAAGAGATTTTATAATAATGTTTTATGCTGTTACATTTTAAAATTAAAGTGAAATTCATGGCAGATATAATTCTTTAAATGGATTTTATAACATTTAAAAAATTATTTTTAATCCTTGTTTTAAAAAAACAAAATAAGATTAATTAAAGGAAAAAGATTCATATTAATAAATTTGCTTTATTAATTAATCAAATATTTTGGACTATACTAATAATATGGAATATAAATTTTATTCATTTTTACTCTCGCTTCTTCTTTTCTTTTTTTTTCCTTATGCTCACTAAATAAAACATGACGTAAATTATCTCGTGATTTGAATGATTTCAGCCTGCAGCCCTGCAAAATAGTGATTTCAGCTAATGTTGATTTGATTGTCGATTTTGAATCAATATTTTCCAAGAGATTGAAATTTGCTTAATTCAAATAGACTTTCTTAAATAAAGTAAATTTTAAAGATCACGAATTTTTTGTTCAGCCAATTTTTGAGACGAGTACACAAATATTTTTTTTTTTAAAAAAATTTTGTAACGCATTTCATTTTATTAAGGATAGATATCCAAATTAGAAATACCTAGAATATGTGCAACACGATATGACTCTATAACAAAACGTAATCTATCCTAAAAAAACATACAAAAACATATAAAAACAGAAACATAAACAGTCCCTGACTGCACTAATAACTAACTCTATACTAAGATTACAAGTGCTCTCCGGTAACGAAAGTGGTGCCTATCCTTAACAAAACTCCTCCTCCACTTGTTTATGCGATATTCACCCCTCTTCCAACGTCAAACACCCGCAACCCCATCCATCCTACAAAACAAAAACTATTAGTATGTATCCCCAAGAAACTAGACTAGCCGTAACTCCATTTGAACATGAAGCAAAAAAGCAAATCGTCCGTCTTAACGGTGCGGTTGGTTTGGCGGTGCCCTTGTCCAGGTCAAATTCCTCGAAAATCCATACCGAGATCCATTAGGAGACCTTTTATTTGTTTCTTGAAAATTTTTTTTTCATGCAAGATATATTTATTTATTTATTTTATGTGAAGACGGACAGACTATTAACAGGACATATACGTAACCGTGCTATCCTACTTCTAGCTATCATCCCCCCGAGGACGGACCCGAACTTCTTTAAATCCAACGAACCAGGATGATCCCCTCCCCTACCAGAAAGGAACCAATGAACCGAAAGAAAGAAAATGATAAAGGACACTAACAAAATATTAAGAAGTTGTGGCAATCTACACATTATAAAAAGCAAAATTAAAAGGACTATTATTAGTAATTACATTATTAAAAGAAAAAACTTCATCTAAATGTGAAAAGAAAGAACCACTATGTAAAAAATTGGATGACGAAAATAAAATGAATAAAAAATCTTTATCTAATTTAAAATTACGAAAGTCATTAAAAGGATTAATATATCCACGTTCCATATCTCTATTATTATCGATAACTACCGGCCTATTAAGGGCAGCTGCGGTTCTTTGATTGCGCAAGAAAATATCCCGATATTTTGTAAAAGACGTTTTTGTGATTCCCCAGGCGTCTCTTAAAGCTTTCCATTTCTGGTTGCGAGCTTTCCAAATATTAATTTTGATGAGGATACTACATTGGTGCATATAATGCATAATTAATTTAACAATGTGTTTCATAGTATTAATATGTGCTCGAAAAATCCCTAATAAATCATTGGAAATATATGATTTAAGAAGTAAATAAGCCACAGGATGAATGGGTTCAGAACGATACGCCCATCTGAAAGTAGGAGAGTATTTGATTGAATCAGAAATTACTAGAGATAGTCTATCAGTGTGAGATTTCAGCAGGTCGATTAAAATGGCTCCCATTTGGATAAAAGAGGATTTGATAAGTTCATAATTATCTGAACATTCCCATAAATGAATATTTGTTTCAACGTGGTTATGACATGATAGGCATTGTGTACGGTCTTTAATGAGTAGAGGGAAATTCCTATTCAAAATGTCCAAGGTTGGTAACGTGAGCGTTGAACATCTGATTTTCCATTTTAGATCTTTGGTATGTAACAGTGATGTAGTATCGTTACGGCCATTATAATTAAACCATTTGCTGGATAATGCCCAATTAATTAGAAGATTTTTGGTGTCGTTCTTAATTGATTCCAAAGAAGCGTGATTGAGGTGATTATCTAAACGCTGATAATTCAGTATAGTACCGACACATTTACGAACATCCTTATCCAGGGTACTTCATTGTTCCAGTTTAAAGTGATAGTTTGGTTGGGTAAGTGATCGTGTATGATTGTCGTAGGTATAGGTTGGGTGCGGCCTAATTTGGCTTGAATATCCGCAATGTCATTAAACTGGTTACCCGAGTGGGCTTTGACCTTCAAAAGTTTCACTTTCAATGATAAGGATTTTATGGTAAAATGGATTGATGACCAAAGTATATTGTTGTTAATTTTGTTGAAGCGCCTCGGCGATATGGTGTGTAAATTTTTTGATTTATGAAACGAATCAATTGCTGCTTGTGAATCAGTATGAATGACAATTTTACCAAACTCTGGGCACACGACTAACGCCGTTAAAATAGCCATAGTTTCCGCCTTGGTTGATGAAGGAAAGAATTGTAAAGATCCATTATAGGTGATGTTACTATTGAATAAATTGGAAGTAGTCCAACCATAGCCCATAGGAAAACCTGCTTGGGAATTAGTGGAATCATAAGAACCATCAGTAAAAAATTCTAAATCAATGAAGGGCGCGAGCGTAGTAGCTATATCTTGTAAATCTTCTGATATTTTAAGATCATCAAATAATTTCGTAATTAGATCCATGTTGCGTAAAGTATTTGGAACATTAGAATTATCTTGAATAGGGGGATTAATGGGTCGAAAATTCACAGTAGAGTTGTAACCTCTTTGGATTAAATGATCATTAAACGCCATAAGGCGGTAGTTAGGATGACTATATTTAAGTAATTGGAAGTCTTTAATCGGAACGTTAGGACGAGGAAAGAGGTCTTCTTTTTTCTTTTTGGGTAATGCTTCAAGAAGAATCAAGTCTTTATGCTTAACTTGAATAATGCATTTTGGTCTCATGTCTCCGACATAATAAGAGAAATGTTGAGCACAACCTTGACAACGAATCAAAATATTGGGAGTTGAACGAGGTGAAGTGTGGAGTGAAGACGCCGATATATCTTTATGAATCCAATGTTCCATATAAGATACTGGACAACAATTAGGAAAGTTGTTGGTACTAAGAAGTTTTCCATAGACGATATCTGAAAGATGCGGTATCCAAGATGTTACCCATTGTTGAGATCTTTTCGGGTGATGTAAAGTGTTACCATCGATCGGAGGGGTGGGAGGACGTGGTGCCATATAACAGGGCGGACATGCTAAATATCACATTGCCGATCATTTGCCGATCATATATATATTGATTATCCCATTTTTTTGAGGCTTCGGGCAAAGCCATATTTGCTCAAAAAAATTACACTAATTATTTTATTTGGTAGTTTAGGTTATCAAAAATATACTATAAAAATTTTGTGGCAAAAAAAAATGTAATGCCAAAGTTAGCTTTGAGCCAAAATTTTCAATAATTATAGTATTTACCAATCATATGCCGATCATCTGCTAATTTGACTTTGAAGCTTCAGGCGAAGCCACAGATGTTCGGGCGAAACTTGAAACTTTTATAGTATATTATTTAGGTATTCAAGAATCTGTAGCTAAAATAAACCTGGATAATTTTTGATAACCCAGAAGTTATTGTTAAATAAATACTTGCAATTATTTAAGGTTAATAAGACTAATTTTTGGTATAGTTTTTATGAACTGTTTTAAGGGTTAATTCATTTATAATAAATAGAGAATAAAGTAAAATAATTGAATTTTATATATATTGTTCATTTTTTTATAAATAGTTTTTAAAATTTACAGAAAATACTTATAAAAATTGTATCAATTTTAATATAAAATATTATTATCTAATTTAAATATAATATAAAACAGCATTATTTTTTTTTAACTTAATAAAAAACAACACTTTTTTTGAATTTAATATAAAAGTTTTGAATAAATTATTCAATAAAATGTCAACAGATTCTACTTGCAGTTTTAATTCAACTGATTGCAAAGGAGCAATTAAGCAAATTACTAATAATACAAAAATTCCAATAACAAATAAAGAAATTATTTTAGTTGGCATGAAACTATGTCAAACTCACTATAATAAATTTATTATTAATGAAGCTCATAACCTTAAACATAATGAAACTTGCTCTCATCCAAAGCATGATGAATATAAAAGTCAATCAAAAAATACAAATAAAAGATCAAAAAACCTTAATCTTGAAAAGGTTCCAAAGAGATTGATGTTAATTTTAAATTTAGATGAGACTGCTAAAATTTGTAGCTTATGCAGAAAAAGGACAGATAAAGATCCTGATTATAATATATTAGAAGAATATAATGCACCAATTTCTAAAAAAGAAAATGATAATAATATATTAAATATAGGAAATCATGCTTATTCATTTAGAAAAGATGTTTTATACAGTGGAGAAGAATTAAAGCAGTTTGAATCAGATTATCAAGAGATTATAACACAATTAACAATTTCAAATGAAATTAGTTTAAGTGATAAAATTAAAAAAATGTCTAACATTCTTTATAAAAATCAAAGAGTATTAAAACAAAAAACAATTTATGATCCTGATGAATTTAAAATTATGTTAGAAGAAGCAGATACAGATTTAATTGGATTTTTTGATGAATTATATAAGGGAACTAATCCTAATACAAAATCTGATAAAACAAATAATAATAATAAGAAAAAACTAGTTTCTTTATGTTATTTTTTAGCTAGTATTAATAACAAATATATAAATGGAATTAAAGCAGATATTGGATCATATTTAGAAACTTCTGGAGCATCAGCTTCTTCTATTGATACACTTGCAAATATAGGATTATCAGTATCTCGAAGAACAGTAAATCGACAAAAAACTTATATTTCAGAAGATCATCAGTATACTGTAAATGACTATTGTTTACAAAACATTGAAAATATGTTTATACTTAATATTGATGATTATCATAATATTCATAGAAGAAATCAACCAACTCTATTAAAAACACATGACATTAATCACTTTGTAACAATTTTATTAAATTCAAATTCTAATATTCCTAAAATACCTTATTACTCATTAAACAGAATTCCAATTCATAATCCTAAAGGTGTTGATTTTAAATTAATTATAGATTATATTGATGTTAGCTTCATGAGTAAATTAGGAAAAAGTTATTATCAACAAAATGAAATGTGGAAGCAATATTTATCTGATGATTCTTATGAAAATAAATTGGAATTTCTTACTGTTCATAATTATGATGGACGTGTTCAAAATCAACAAGAACTAAGATCAATGAAAAATAGTAAGTTGGTGGATTTTATTTTACATCCTTTGCACAATACAAAGGATTATATTGAATCTTCAAATATTTTATTTAAAGTATTTGAAAAAATAGAACAAGAGGATTATTTAAATAATTTTGTAATACCTACAATTTGTGATTGGCCTGGTCAAGTAAATTTAAAAAGAGCTATTACATTAAGACTTAATAAAAAAGAAAATTCTGGAATTTCACCTCAAATATTAAGTATAATTCCTATGATTGGTCCACTACATATTTCTTTAAATAGCAGAGAAACATTATTTCAACAATATCATTTCTTTTTTGAAATGATATATCATGATCTCTTTGGAGCTAACAAGATTTTAGCACAAAAACCAAAGCCAAGACTTATTAATCTTATATTAAATTTAACATTTTATGGATGGAAAAATATTCGCAATTTAATTATTAATCGTTTTGGAAATATAAAAGATGTTGAATATTTAATGATGATAGATTTATTAGACAATTCTTTACCACTTACTTTAGATATATATACTAAACTTTTTAGATGTGGATTTTTTGAAGGATATTTAGAAAGTATTATAAAAATTTGGATTTTATTTCAAAGATTGCATAGACATAATTATAATAAAGCACCACTTATATTTTTAAGTGATGTGTTTTATTGGACATTAAATGATCATCCAATACTAGATGTTTTAAAAAATAATTTACCAATTTTTAATGATTATTTTGTTGAAAATTTTCATAGTTCTCTTAGATATCAAACAGCTGAATCAAATACTGATAAACAAATTATACAAAAAGCAAAAACTATTGATATTGAAAGAAATGATGATGGATTTAAAAATACTTTTATTAACACAAGAAATACAAATATTTCAAAGGTTAAATTAATATCTTTAGAAAAGAAAGTTTCATTATTCTTATTATCTCTTTTTGATATAATTTATCATAATATTGGAAAATCAAGTAATAATAACAATAATAATATGTTTGAACTTCCAAGTTTTAATAATAGAAATGTAAATGTTAAGCTTTTTCCTTTAGCTTGGAGTACTTCAAATATACCTGATAATGATAAAATTTGTGATGCAGAAAATTGTCTATCATCAAATTCATCAAATATTATTTTAATATGTGGCCATAGCTATCATAAAGAATGCTTAAGTCTACTAGATGAAAAGTGTAAATATTGCTTTAATTATTTATCAGAAAGCATTAAAACAAATATTACTAGTTTGAATAAAAGATTATTTAAACCATTAAAAGATAATGAAATATCTGAATTTACAGAAGATAAAGGTTTAGATGAAGATTATGATGATGAAAATATTGATAGTCTTTTAGAACAAGAAGAATATAATATAAATAATCAATATGAAATTCAATATAATATATGGTTAAACTATAATAATATGTAAATGATAGATAAAAATCCTTTATTTTATTTTAATTTTAATAAAAATACTTATTTTCATTAAATTATAAAAAGTTTCCATTAGTAAAATTGCTTAATAATATTCTGATTTAGGTAAAAATTAATATACTATAATTCTGAAGTAAAATTAAGCTATTCTTAAAATTTTAGTATACATTAATATGTAAATTTTGCAAAAAATAACTGATAACAGTATTTTTCTTATGTGATATGATTGAATAAATGATCGACAAATGATCGGCAAAATGATCGGCAAAATCGTGATAAAATAGAGATGTCCGCCCTGTTGTGCCATATGGTTTTGAATGATCGGTTTATCTAGATCGAAGATTAGTCTTCCTTGGTTATTGATGGTGATATTGTTTTTTAGAAAAGTGTACCAACGGGGTATCTTGCCTCCTTTGTGCTGGAGATTTTTCTTTATAGT